CTTGAAATGGCTCGCTTGATTCTACACCATTGTCTCAAACGCCTATTTGCAGAATATATGGCTTAGAAGTTTGAAACTTAGAAGAACAACACTTTCGTGTCATTTCCCCATGTACTGTTAAATTCAAAGGTGACAGACCCTTTCTAGATTTGAAGCTTTCGTGACTGCAAGGATCCATACTCTGTGGTTCTATTCGGTAAAGTCACGTAGGTAAAAAATAAAACAACAAAAATCACGACGTTTCGGCCACAACACAAGTGGCCTTCATCAGGTGAAGGGACCGAATAGAACCAAAGTGACAGACCCTACCTAATACACGACTATCGATGTGGCAGGACACTTTCTGTACGTGTGACCTTTGCTGCAGGTGCATTCAAACCAAAAAATACGCGCCGTCTGCCTCACAGGGCGAGTTAATTAACCCGTCGCGCTATTCGGAAACGAGTGGGCCATGTGTGTGCCAACATATCACGGGTCCAAATCTTCCAAATTAGAAGAACGACTGACAAATTACTCAATTCAGTGAAGCCCTAATGGCAACATCGCCCCCTACTGGTAGACTGTTTCTCGTCTCTGAAACACAATTCCTTCGCGACAACCTTACTCGAGAAGAACGACACGAATTGCAAACACACAAACGAGTTAAATTTGTATTCTATTCTTAATTTTGCCAGTGGGAATATTTGCCCGTTGCAAACAGCTTGTGGCTCTTTTGTGGGTTGTGTATCTGGGGAGGCCAGGGTGACCAAAAAATATCCACATATAATGAGCATCATCTGCAGCGCAGGAACAACCCTCATGTCACGTCTGTCTCATGGCACAACCACACAGTCTGCAGTGCAGTGCCTCAGTTTGCAGTGAGCAACATTTGTGCCTGCTCATTGAGCCTCGGTTTGAGCCTAAAGAGTGCCTCCTATTGACAGCGTTTAAACTCGACAGCCAACCCTGGCAATCGTGGCTTCTCTTAAATCAGGGTTACAAAATAGTACGGTACACTAACTATTGGGACGCACAGTGGCGTAGCTACTGAATGAGCAGTGGTACAGCCCCTAACGTTTACCACCTTTCTTGGTTTTCCCAGGATCGTCCTCTTTCCGGGGTAGCTGTCCGAGGAAATCTCTAAGCCTTCCAGAGACATAAACACAATATGGTTATCGTCTTATGAGACCTCCTTTGCCAGTAACAAGATATAGTAATAGGTTTTACCCTTTTAACTGGCACAAAAAACTGACACCTTTATTCAAGGCATCATGTCTGCAATAACCAATACTGGCAAAGGAGGTCTCATAATGTAAATGCTCACCCCGAGCCCTCAATACTCTGATGGTGCGCTGTTTTTGAGTTGTACGCCTTTTGGCGTCTTCTGGTCCAGCACCAGTGGAGACTAGGCTCTAAAGAAAGCCGTCTCGGGTGTGGACCAATCAAATTCAAGGACAATGCATATTATTATCAGAGTTGTCTTTTTGTTTGCATTTTGACTGCTTGTGTTGTGGTTATTGCAGACATGATGCCTTGAATGAAGGTGTCAGTTTTTTTGTGCCAGTTAAAAGGGTAAAACCTATTACTATGGTTATCGTCTGTTGTATAATAATGTGCCGTTTGAGATAATGCCGTATTTAACATGTATTTCACCCTTCTTCCAGTACCTCCTGGGAGATGACATGTCCTAGGTTTGTGTTCCTCAGAGCTGGACATTCTAGAAAACCCCCATGGGCCAGAGGGAGGGAAATTAGACAGGGAGATCCATTTAATTCCTTGCACCAGGGGTCATCCAACCACACTTTGTCACTAATGATAGTAAACCAGTACGTAGGGGTTGCTCACCTGTTTGTGCAGAGTTTTCCCTTGTCCTCTTGGTATTCCACTTTTATTCCACATACAATTCCGTCGATCAATTTATGCTTCATTTTCCCAGTTTATCAGTTCTCAAAAACAAAAGCGGGGTTGATCCTGTCCAGTGATACTGTGCCAGGTATTATAGGTATAGTAGACTTCGGGGACAAACTGACCCGAAGAAAACAGTATAGCAATGGTTTCTTGAATCTATCTGTGCAGAGATTATATTGTCACTACTTCATATGCATGGATTTTCCCATTTCCATTCATGTGACTCATTGCTGGAAATGGAGAAACAACCAATGCAAGACTCTCATAAAAACGACTCTTAAGGCTCAGTGAAGCTTTCCTGGGTAAACAAAGAGCATTATTAATATTATGACAATGACTGAAAACTATAATTAGCCAAACATCCCAAATGGGATCGTCCTGAAAATCACCAGACTCAATGAGGCTTTCCTAATAAAATGCAACAATCAGTGGCAGAGCAAGGATGGGCCCTGGTGCCTCTCTCATTTATTTTTACGTCCCCTTCGTGCTGTTCACTCACAATCTTCTCTGCCCCCCCCCCCCCTTTCGTTTAGTTTCTCATTGTGCCCAATCTCGTTTTAGATCTTTCTCACTACTTGCACCCTTCCACTGCAATAAACTTCCCCTGTACCTTGAGCAGTCCCCCTCCTTAACCCCCTTCCGTTCCTCTCTTAGAGCCTCACCTATTCTCCACTGGCCATTCTCTTCCTCTTCCCTTCCCTCCTCTCACCCCTCCACTCCTTCCCGTCCATCCCCTGCTTTTCGTGACCCCAAGTGCCCTCAGTTATGATCACTCATTCCTCGGCCCTTGCACGCCCTTTGCTCTCTAAGTCATTATATTTTTGTTCCCGCCTTGAAACTATATAAAAGCGCCTTGAGCTAAGGCGCTCTAGAAAGATAAAATAATAAATTGGGCGTCCTGTCCAATTTCCGCAACATCTTTGTAGCTTGTTGTCAGGGCCTTTCCAGACATGTGGCTCCTGCTACGGTTACACCGTCTGCAACACCCAATCGTTACCCCACTGGGCAGAAAATGAAAACTCTGCTCATTCTTAGAGCCTGGCTGCAAACGGAATACAAAGTGGTATGTCCAAAGGTCAACCTGGGAAGGATAAGGGTGAATTATTATTGCGTGCAGGTGCATAATAAATGGCGAGCTGCACTCTAGCTAACCAACTGTGGTCTCCCGAAGCCACGTGTTTACACCGTGCGTGAATGTTTGCAGTCTGAAGTGCGTGTGAGCGAGCCTTCCATTGTACATTTATTTTCTTGCGTGGGAACTCTGCCACTGGCTTTTCCAATTTCGAGCAACTCGTGGAATTTCCACTCGGACACATAAAGGTTAATGGTTTACTAAAATGCCTCACATTCACTATACAGTGCACGTTTCTCCCCTTCCGCGTTCGAAATACATTGCGGTGATAGGCCCTCCCATTTGCTGTAATATACATAATTCTACCCAAAAAAAATCCATACATTTAGTCCTGCGTTGGGTTTCAACCATTGCTTCCCATTCGCCAAAGTGCAGTCCAAGAAACTGACCATGAGGTTACAGCCCGGCTTAGAGAATGAATGGGTCTGATTTGTGCTTACGGTATTTGACCTCGTGACACCAAATGTGAGCATATACAGCCCCCCTTTGTCCATCCATTGCTGGCTAAGAGGCTCCCCAAGCCCTGTGGATCGAGGGGGTTATTTGACCATTACTTCACCAGGCTGGTCAGTGTCGGTTGGTGAATGTGGTGAGCACAAGCGAGTACAGTAGATGTACCAGCAATATATTTTGCTGTACTGCCCTCTGCTGACAGAATAGCCCCGATGTACCGTGGTCGATCATTCTAAGCACTATCCGAGACTCAACCAGCTTTTGAGATCTCATGAGATCTGGCATATTAAAGTATTAAAGCTTTCGTGACTGCATAAAATTGCTCATTGGTTTTTTTCGGTAAAGTCACGTATGTAGAAAGACAATAAAATAATATTAAAACAAAAAAATATAATTATAAAAATATAATGTTATTGTATTTCTACATACGTGACTTTACCGAAAAAAACAATGAGTAATCTGGCATATTCTGGGCGATTTGCTCACAGGCTTTATAATATAAGCGTAATACACGGCAATATACAGTTTACGTACTACGCTCAAGTGATTAAATATTTATAAGTCTCATTAACTGTCCGAAATGGAATTACAATACGATGATACACTGATAAAACATAAGGACCTTATTGCACCGTAAATGTTCTTTGGACAGTTCAATAAATAACTAGAAATAAATATACTGCAGGAAAATTTGCAACGTGTTCCACTTAAGTTGTTTTGTGCTAACTAGCCACCGTGGCTGAGCAGAACGGACGAAAAGTTGATGAGACACATTTTTGTAATGGAAATATCATTAAAAAATGTCATCCTCCAAACTTTCACACGCCTTCTCACTCAATTGTGCAGTTAAGTTATTTGAGCAGAACAATTGTATTCTAAAACCATGAAAGGTAAAAGCGCAGCCCCGCAAATTCTGACACCACCGCTGGCAACAGGGTCTCCACTAGAGGGGGCTCTGTGGAGAGTTAATATAAGGGATGAGTTGGCCACCTCGTCCACGTCTAGATAAATCTATTGAATCGGGTCAGTATTTAAAACTTTTTCGCACGTGAAATTCAGAAGAAGAAAAAAAATCGACTGGGAAAGGCAAATGGGCCCGCATCTATAAACCAAGCAAAAAGCAGGTCTTCTTCATAAGAGTAATGTGACTTGATAGCTGAGGCTTTCCTTAATAAATCAAAGCTATTATAAACATTACATTAACGTGACACACACGTAACAACAAAACCCAACACATGTCTATCAATCACAGTGTGGCCTTCAAAGTGAAAAGAAAATAGGCGACGATTTTGGGCCAACGGCCTTTCTTCATAGCACATATAACATTGCAAGCGCACCACTGACAAGCCACTACCACCAAATAATTATTGGGTCAACTCAAATACGTCAATGTCTTCGGCTTGAGGAGCAGTGTTTCCAGAGGGGGAGGGGCGGAGAGGCGGGGCTAATAATCCACCACCACGTCACGTGACTCCCACCCCCAAGGTTATCCCCCCCCCTCTCCAGTATTTTAGAGGGGGGCCCCCCCCTCTCCCTCCCCCACTCCTTTTAAATATCACGTGACCAATGCCGACCCAATCGCGACGCGGGGCGGAGCCGTAGCGCGAGGCGGCGACGCGGAGCGGACATGGCGCGTTTGGTGGCCGTTTGTCGGAACGGGGAGGACGGATTCCCCTTCAAGAAACGGCAGATTCCTCTCGCCATTGACGATACCCTCACGGTAAGAGGAGCCCGCCTCGTCGCCTCGAGCTGCTCGGCGGACCATCGCACGCGCCCCTCGCCCTCGAGGGACCGGGTTGATCGCGGATGAGGCCTGGGTCATTGTGGCGCCTAAGCCGTTTCCTGGATCGGCAGCCGGCTTTTAGGCGCACCGAGGCCCCGGGCGAGGTGCGAGCCGTACGCCCGCCCTCGTCCCGAGGACGTAGGCCCCGCTGCATAGGCCGTGTTCTCGCACGAACGCACAGCCAGTGCTGTTACAATAGTAAATAGTGGTGATTGCTGCCGTTGTATTACTCTGTCGTGAACATTGTTTATTTGCTAGATGTGCAACGTCTTCCTGTGCATCCAGCGGTGGTGGTGGTGTGGGGAGGGGGGGGATTTGTACCATCGCAGTCGCAACTCTGTTAATGATAATCGACTCGGGGTCATAGGGACAATAGGGCGAATGTCGTCGCATGTGAAGTCTTCAGAGAAGTTTATCACCTGGGGGTGTATGGGACGTGTCCGGGGTTCGTCCATCCTGACCCTTGTTAGGGCAATAGTAATGCTTTGATGGTGTCCGTTTTGTTCGCGTGCCACTTACGGCCAATGGATACGGATTTACAGAAGTCTAGTTGTTTCTGAGGCACCATATTGCTTCCTTGTTTGCAAAAGAAGTCCGCCGAAGTTATTTTTGATTTCGTAATAGGGATTTTATTTTTGAGGGCCTTTCGAAAGACGAAATATAATGCAGCGTTTGGCTTCTTGGCTTTGGTTAATGAAAACAAAAAAATGCGGACATTGGGGAATTATCCGAACGAAAACGCAGAGACGTTTCGGGTAATTTCAGACTTGTTTCCGGAAATGTCGGCATCAAATGAAATATTTTTTTTGTGTCTCTGAACGCGATGTCCGTGCGATATTTTCGTTGCCGTCTGTCGATATGCTGCAGTTGGTGATGGAGTTCCCGGACACGCTACTCAACGCGGAAGGTGGTCAAGTCAACAGCGCTCAGCTGAAGCAGTTCACGCAGGTTTGTGCACCTGCGCAAAGCATTGCAACCAAAACATCCATTGCACTTTTCGCATTACATGCGAGTTATATTAACTCGAAGGGAATTTGCATTTCATCCAATCTCAGCCCACTAGTGGATGAAGGCCACTTTCATGTCCGTAATGAGGTATTTTAATAATACTTGAGGATGGTCAGTTCAGGTCGGCGAATGTGAGTAAGGGGGCAGGGTTATTTCAGATATCACCATTGCTGTTTGCAACGGCCAGGAATCGAACTTGGATTTCCAGGAACAGCGAGTTAACAAATTCTCCCATCCCCCCCCCAAACACCTCCAAATTGGCTTATTGAGAAGTGCCTGCTCTTACAGTAGTTTATGCCTTAACATTATAGTTGTATGCAGAGTTGGTTTTGCCGCTTTAGAACCCCTTAAAATTTGTCCCACTAGAAAACATTTCGTCTCATATGCTTTGTAATTGGCAAGCAGTTGTCCCATTGAACAAATTCGCACAGTTTCTGTATATTATGAGACGCTCATCTTTAATACAATTCGAGCTAAGGCCGTAAACAAATAAGAGTAATAATACACACACATGGTATCTTTTTGACAGGAAAAGGCATGATTTTCACCATTGGATCAGTTGACCCATTGTGGTTTGCATGTGACATGACATTGAACACTGCGTGTATAATACACACAACCTTATTTTTCGACTATCACCTCAAAAAGTGTGGCCTTATTGTGGAAATAGTTTCTTGGACCAAGAGGGCAATCATGGATGGTCCAACCTACGGATTATACCATTGTTGGTACTAGCCTCAATAAAATTAACAATCACAATACAACGTTAATTTACATCTTTAATATTACAGCTTCCGTCCTAGGACGGGCTAACAAGCTAGTAACGTAGAATATGCATGGGCCGTCAGTGCATATGAAATGTACTGGGGCAGGGTTTGTGTTTACTAATGAAGGTGCTGTGATTGTGAAGACCCCGTTCCCTGCTGAAAAAAAAATGTGGGTAATGAAAAAACTTCCAAGCTGAGCATGTTTAATGTTATTGCAATGACATTGCTCTTGAGGTGACACCGTCGCTAATACCAGTGAGCCAGCACTGCTGAGAAGATCCTGGTTTTGAATCTGGGAATCCGCCCCTGATTAAACAGGCTCTCAAGTGTTCTGAGTTTTAGGTCTCTTAGTCCTTTCACCAATAACTGAATTTAAAAAAATATGTCCAATTATTTTGGCTAATTCCAACTCTGATAAATTAACATTTGTTGCTTGATTGACCTGCACACCACACACTTTGTAGAACATATGAGACATGTACTATTTAGCATGCATAAGAAACTGACTGAAGGGACTTCAGAAGTAGTTCTGTGCTGTGCTTTACCGGTGCAGTTTTCCAATGCAAGGTGGTGCACTTCTAGCTGTGTGCGGCCAGCGCAATACGTTCCTGAAATACTGGGCTCATTCAGGGGTAGGGTGCCCAAACCTATCCGTGTGCTTAACAGAACAATATTCTTTCCATGAAGGCTTAATTTTATCCTATTTGCTGATTGTTAGGTTGTCTATATTGTCTTTTATATTATAAACATGTATATCGGATGAGTATATTATGCGGTAATGAAACGCCACTGAATCTACAAAATCACAAGCCATTTCTGGAACGTACGTTATAGTAGCACAGTGGGAACAGTATAGTATTAAACTGGGAGCACCTGACGCATGAAGTTCCATCGCAGTGTGGAGACGCAGCCAAAACATTGAGCATTACTTTGCACGCTGTTCTTTTTTAGGGCTTTGTAAGTCTAAAAAAAATCTCCATCAAATCCACGGTATATCTACAGTTGTGATTGTTTCAAGAGCATGCTACCATTTTTTGGGGGGGGGAGGGGGGGGGTGGTGGAAATAATAATTGAGAAAACAATTTCAACCTGCTGTGCGTGTTTTGCAGCACTACGAGATGCTGTCGGGGCAGGAGCTGGTGTGTGCGGTGCGCGTGCCGCCGCGCGAGCTGGTGGGCTGCCTCCCGGAGCAGGTGGCGTGCGTGGGCTGCCGCGGCAGCGTGGAGCGCCTCTTCTCCGCGCTGCTGGAGAGTGGCACACCGGCGCTGGAGCCTCTGCTGCTGGAGTCGTCGGGAGAGCTCGTGGTTTGCCACAGCTACTTGGCCGACGCACGGAAACTCTACTGCTTGTTCTATCTGCACGGGTGCGTGTCTTGATTGCACATCTTTTATGCCCGCGGTGTACGTACCAAAAAAAAGTCGGTGCACGTGTAGTATCTTTACTCGTGGTATTGTCTCTAGTCGCTTATACACGTCTGGTTAGGAATTATGCATTGTCTGTATATTTTACTTCATAATGTTTTACTCCTCCCAGTGTGAAGCAGAAATCAATTAGTTTGTTACATTCATTATTTACCTGAGGATGTAGCCCTGGGTCCATGGGACCGATCAATATGTATTTGATATACATGCTGCACACTTTCGTGATCTTGTACAACACATTGAACATCTTATTACAAAAAGGGATGATTACATCATCTGTGAGCAAATCTACATTTCTTGGATCGCTCTTCCAGAACCAACTGCCAGAACAGTAAGGTGAACACTGTCTTGTAACATAAAGATAATAGGTTGATATTTTGGAGCCATAATGGGCCTTTTGCAGATCAGGTAGAGAGATTTGACGTATTTTGAGGTCGCACTACACGTTTCTGCCGTGGGAAGGTTGGCATGTATAATTCTTCGTGTGAAATTAAAATGTGTTATTCCTCTCCACAGGGCGAAGCTGAATGATATTCTGGATTCCATTCCTAAGAGCAAGAAGAACCGGCGCTGTCCTTTCCACTCTCTGGACACACACAAGGCAAAGCCGCTCGGGTAATTGAATCCACAGCAGTGACTGGATGTGGGGAAAAATTACTGCCTGCTGTATGTTGCTGTAATTTATGAGCATTACAGGAAGGGAAATTTAGTGAGTGCACTATGCTACCAATCCCGTGATCTTAGTCTGATTTCTGGCACGTCTAAAGTTAGTGGTGAGTGCTGTCTGAACTGGTTCTGGATTACCCCCTCACCACCACAACAACAACATCAGCGGCTATTTGTCGCTATGTGACATTGATGTCGCCACAGCGCTTATACTAGGTTAGGTGCACTTTGATGCGACGTATCGAAGGCTCTCTGGCAGGAGGTTACGGGACAGACCCAGGTGTCATGGGGGTTAACGGACTGAGATGACTGGCAGATGCACCACCTGTGCTTTCCCCACATGCCCTCTAAAAAGACACACGGACCCATCTATCTTCCGCGTCCACTGACCAAACACTAAGCGCCGTTGTAAGACACAGCCAACAACCTACCCCCATGACCAACATGGCAAGAGTACTTCAGTAGTGTATTTTTAAACGGCTCCAACTTATTGAATTATTACTATAATTAGAAGGAAATGGTACGGTCTTAGGTTTGTTTAATCGTGTTATGCAAAAGATGGTTTGTGAGTGCGTGACGATGCAGAGACGGTGCACTGGCCACCTCAGCCAGCCAAGCTGTAGGTACAGATACAGGAGGTGGAGGAGCCAGGAAGCGAGTCAGGTGTAAAATTACCTACATTTTTGGGCCTTTCCAGGCCCCATACAGGTAACACCAAGTGTTTTTTTGATAGATATGAAGTAGTTTTTTTTTGTACGAGTAAGATGAACATTTTATGCTAGTGGTGTTGAAGTGATAGGTGTGCATTGAAGGTAACTTTGTGAACGTTGCATACTCATTATTGGCCTGTTTAGGCCTTCTTAGCCTATTTTGGGCCTTCATCTATCGCCTTAGTGGGTTTTCCACTTGTCTCTGTCCATCGCTGCATGTTTCAGCTGATATGGCTTCGAATCCATCCGATGTTTGATGTTTAGCATAAACATCCACACATTTCAAAGTAAGTGGCACTTTCATGTGGCTTATTAGGAAGAAATTTTTAAGTTGTGAGCCATTTTCAGAAATGGGGTGCTTTTTTTTAAAATAAGAATTATGTCGAAGCCCCAAGTCAGCCTTCCTGCATCCATCCGTGCTGTCCAATTCCATCCACTGTTCAGGCTCAAGACCTTTTCTCCTCTACCTATCACTGACCACCTCTACAAACAAATGTCCACTGTTTTGGCAGTGTCTTGAGATGTACTCCCATTTAGATGCTATATAAACAATTAGTCCTAATCATAGATTTCAACTCTGTATAAATCGGCTAGAATATTTCAAAGCTATAGAAATCCAAATTATGTCGTGAATGCATCGGCAGGGTTAATGAGCACGATTAGCAAGCACAGGGCATGAATCACGTTGAGGCATGTCAATACTATGGGTCCTCTTGAAAATTCAATTGAAGGCACAGGTGGTAGCATTGTCATCACTTCCAATTAGCACGGTTGGCTATGTGCGGTGGGAAAGAAGTTCTACATACATTATTATTTTTTCTGGGATGTTTCTAAGCTCGCACTTCCTCTGTGTAGTGGCAGCTGGACGGACGTGTGGGACCGCATGTCGCAGGACTGCCGCGACGAGGTGGTGCTCATCGACTCAGACTGCCTGCTGGAGACCCTGGAGACGCACTTGCGCAAGCACAGGTGACCCCCTGAGCCGCAAGCGTCTTACCACCCACCCATCACCACTGTTTATTTTTCTTTAATTCGCTCATGCATGTTATCCACTGATGGGCCACTATGATTGAACACATTTGGGGAGTTTCTTTGGCTCCCAAAATCACATTCGTGCATGAAAGGGTTACTCGATCACAGTGACCGTTGGGGTGCATCTATTCTCGCTGCCTAAATGTCTTGTTGCTCCTGCCACTATGTTCTGTTATTTATGGCATTCCTCCCTTGATGCGATTCCACTTCTTCTTGATCCATTCTCTTCTGTTGCTTGCCCAGCCGACGCATGGTCTTGCCAAGTTCTTTCGAGTCCTTGGGATGCTCTCGTAACATCACTATTGACTTATGAAGACATTTTGAGTATCATCAGTGACATCGCTTAGCATGTTAGGAAGCACACATCAAATCGTTTGTTACATTCATTATTAACCTTAGGATGCAGCCGTGGGTCCGTGAGATCCAGCTTGATGCATTTTATATAAATGTTTTTGTCGTTAAGGAAGTTTTACGCTCATAGCAAACAGCCCAGAACACACAGCCTAGATATGTATCTGCGAAGAATCGGAGCTATTTGGTATTTGAGTTACATATTTAAAACCACGGTCGACAAACGACAGAGTGCAAGCCAAGGGAGGGAAAATTCCCGACAGGACGTCCACTGTGGAAAAGGAGCAATGAACCCGTATTCCTGTACCTGTGATCGATGTATTGTTACATTGCAGGCCATCCACCTTGGAGACCATCCAGTAGTGGATTGATCATAACTGATAATGTTTAATATATTTCAATTGTTATCCAAAGCTCTTTTTATTCTCAAGGTGTAAGCATGGTAATACAACCTTTTAGAGTGTGGTGGTGGGAAGGTGCCAGGGAAACGGTATGATGGCTTCTTTATAATTGGTAACAATGTTTAACAATCCCTTAACTGTTTCGTATTTAGCAGATGATGGCATATTCGGTGCAACGAGCAAAGCGTCTTCACTGAGATTGGAATGAGGAAAGAGGGGTAATGTCTTGGGGGTGGTTATGCAATATGTTTCTTTACAGTTGGGGGGGGGAAGAGTTGGAGTGACGCGCTTTGCAAAGTTCACAAAGTCGGGGTGCAATTAAGAAAGGGAAACTGCTACATCTATTCTCTCAATTTAGGGGTCGTTATTTTATTTATCACCGTATAATCCCATTACACCCTTAATTTCCTTCCCCTCCACCCTCTTTATGCTTGTTCCATCGTCCATTGAAGCGCTAGTGCTAATTGACATTGCAGCTAACTGCCTTGGCACGATGTGGATAGTGGAAGGGAAAATTGAGCAATTATGATCTTCATCCCCCAATTATTAGAGGTAAAGAAAATTGTGTTGACGCATTACATGATGAAAAAAATTGGTTTCTTTGGGGGCGAAATCAATTGGTACGTTTGCCCACGTGACAATTTGATTGGTTTGGCTTTGTCGGATGATGGAAGTGTTATAATCTCTCAAATGACATCAACACAATCTAGCCCAAAATAAAGCAATGATAAATCATAATGTTGGTCTTGAAAGGCTCCATTTCGAATTAAGTACTAGATAATGAAAATGAGCATCCTGATTTGCCGTTTCAATAAGTACATAGCTTACGCATACATCAGGAAAATGACCACTGAAAAAATGGATCAAAAGCTTAAATTGTGCCACAAAACGTTGAGTTAGGCGATGCATGCTCGGACTTGTACTGAGATAGAAATACATGGATCGGGGAACAGATAAATGGAGACAACATCGTCGTGAAGAAATGTAAGTGCTTGGCAGGATGCATCGCTATTAGGGATGAAGACAATGGACGCAACTGGTGACAGACCGACAGCCAAAGGAATGAAACTCATCTGAGAGATGGAGCCATGAAATCGGCTCCAGGACGAGAGTGCGCGACAGATTATCGCAGAAGCACAAGTAAGGGTGACGGTTTTAGGGGAGGAGGCCTTGAGCCAGCAGCGGCTAGACAATGGCCGATGGTAATCACGACGACGACGACGTTCGCGTAAATATTTAGAACCGGCTCGCCTATTGTCTGGCGTTGCAGGTTCTGCGGTGAGTGCAAGACGAAGGTGCTGCGCGCCTACGCCATTCTGACGGGCGAGGTGGACGGCAGCAAGGAGAAGGGCTACTGCGCGGGCCTCTACGAGGGCCTGCGTTCCTGCCCCCACGAGCGCCACGTTCACGTCTCCTGCGACACCACCTTCATCAGCCACCTGCTGGGCCGCGCCGTCTCCGAGCTCGCTGGAGGGTACGTGCCTTGGTCGGGATGGTGGGGGGTGTGGGGTGGGGGGTTTCGATTCTTTGCAGCTATTGTTTTGTAGACAAGCGTGTTGTGTCTGACTCGCTGGGCTACTGAGGCAAGGGTGAATATGTGTAAAAAGGTTAGATGTGTGAACATGTATACAAATTGATGGATACACCCAGCACAAATAATCATGAGCTTTGTTGTGTAGAATATTAATAATAATATAGATAAGCAGACAATGTCTCGTTCATAATTCTGTCTCTGCATTCAAAAATATATTTGTACACAATCCAACATCCACGCAGGAACTTGGGTTTGCTTAATTTCAGCAGCATTGATGCAACATGAGCAAACTTCACGGGTTTCGACACCCATTGTCTCATCAGCAGTCAGACTTGATGGGCATTCGCATCATGCCGAACAACACGTGGTACAACCAGAAAAGGTATCGAAGTGCTATACAGCACAACATGGAAAAACCTATGCATAAATAAGTGCTGTCTGCTTCACAGGGGATGCTAAATATCACGTGACATTCAAAAAGGAGTAGGGAATGTGTGCCATCATGACTGTCCAAATTTGCGAGATTTGAAAAATGACCGATAAATACGAAATTGGGAGAACACATAACAACAACGGCCTCAACTGCAATACTACTGCGGGCTGTTTGCGAAACATTGTGCGTTCGTGATAGCCTTGCGCCGCTGTCAGGATGGCACAATACCAAAATTTACTTGCGTTTCAACGTGATCGGAAAGTTGCAACGGGAATCAATTTCCGTGCGTCCTTGGTTCCGAGCAGGAGGAGAGAGCGCCACGCCAAGACGCTGGATAGCGCGCAGGAGGAGGTGGTGACTTGCTTGGCTATCCACCTGTACGAGCGGCTGCACCGCATCTGGCAGCGGCTGCGCGCCGAAGAGCAGACCTGGCAGCTGCTCTTCCACCTCGGGGTGGACGCCCTGCGCAAGAGCTTCGAGGTGACGCGTCACCCCTTTGCCGGACCCGTTTGTAGAATTTCAGCGCTGCCCAAATAGGCTTCTTCCTCGTCGTCGCCATCGTCATTGTCATCATTGGCCTTGGTCTCAAACTGGCATTGTTTGCTCTCCACATTCAAAAGAATCCGAAAGGAAATTGGCAGACTGAAGGACCCTCCTAAAAAAAGTCTTCAGACTTTCCTCAACTAAATACGTGAATATATATTTACTTAAATATGTGAAGCATGTGGGCAGCAAACTGCAGTAGAGACAAATGGATTGCTTTATGAGACCTCCTTTGCCAGTAACAAGATATAGGAATAGGTTTTACCCTTTTAACTGGCACAAAAAACTGACACCTTTATTCAAGGACAGTGCATATTATTATCAGAGTTGTCTTTTTGTTTGTATTTTGACTGCTTGTGTTGCGGTTATTGCAGACATGATGCCTTGAATAAAGGTGTCAGTTTTTTGTGCCAGTTAAAAGGGTAAAACCTATTCCTAAATGGATTGCTGTACTGTGCTTCTATGCTCCAACGTATTCTCCTGCCTTCACCATGAACCAAGCAGCAGTGCCTTGATTTATGGGCTCTTGGTGTCCTCCCCACAGATGCCCTTTCCCATCTCGCACCACACCAGCTAGTTTCCATTATTATCCAAGCCATTGCAACGCAACCAACTCGTAAACATTTAGTGCGCTATCCTCTGTATTGACACAACTTGACCTGGGAGGTCGTGAGCAGGGGCGGAGCTACAGGGGGGGCTGGGGGGGGCTTAGCCTCCCCTGAAATTTTGTGAAAGTCGGTAATCGGGATAACCGGATATCGGGCTGCTGCAAAATGCTGGCTGCCACCTTGTGGTGCCCTGCAGGCTGCTTGAGCGGCAGCCTTTCGAACTTATTGAACTTATTAGCCACATCAGCGGCTCTGACTTTTTAATAAACTCCGCGTTCAAATCCAATAAAATTTGTTTCATACATTTGTGGCGCCCATTGGAAAACATACACTGGATATCTCAGAATATTGAAGTCAGGCTCCCCAAAGTCAAAATCCTGGCTGCGCCCCTGGTCGTGAGGACTTATAGTTCTGACACACACGCCTACAGAACACGTAAGACTCTCTTATTGATCGTACTTTGATGAGGCCGTATTAACATAGCCACCTTGGCGCACGAGCCGTGTAGAAGGTTCGGCGATCTTGCATTGACATGCTAATTTTTGCCTGGCAGCCCTCTGATTGGTGGAAAGCCCACCACCGCAGTGGTCGCTGCCCACCACTTGCATTGGCCGCTGACATTTGGGCGAGGCCCATTTCAAACCTTTATAAGCAGTTGTCTTTAGAAGCTAAACCCCCCTTTTCCTGAAGACGACCGCTTGTGTTGCGATCGAAACGTCGATATTTTTTGTTATTTTTTCTGTCTACGTGGCTTTACTGAAAGACCCAAAGAATATCAATCTTCCTTTCCTCTCGGGAGCAGAAAAAAATGCTGCTTGCATAACCTGTTATCGACTATAAGCTCGCTGGAGCAGAAGCTTTTAAAGTCCATCTCGCCTATGGCGATTGCTGCGTGGACCTGATTGACTTGGCCCAAAATGCCTTGTCGCTATCGTGGTGACACCATTAGCACTGGGGAACAAAGGCTGCCGGGGGGGCGGTGTTGACTCCCATCAGTCTCGCTTGTGTATAGGCGCTTGCGCAAAAACAACAGCAATCACGACGGTCCATTTAGACTAAAGTTGGATCTCATGTCTGTCCATTGCTGTCTCTACGCTTGTGCAGCATGCGCTGGATCAAGGCACTATCTAAATCTACGTAAGATAATAATGTGCACAGGGCCCCAACTTCTGATAAGTGCATGTGCAGTCCTGTTGTCATTCCACTGCTAGATGAGGCAGGGAGTAAAGAAGTACAGTACAGCAATGCATTTTGCTGAGAGCCCCCTCTGTTGTCCATCACGTAGCCTGCAGCCCAAAGACGTCCTGTTTTGTGCGTGGCGGTCACCCAGCCAAGCACTGTCCAGGCGCAACCTTGCTTACTTTACGAGATCCATTGCATTGTAGCTGATTGTCAAACAAACTTTAAAAAAAAATACTTTCCCAAAACTATCTGTCTGCACATTCTTTGGGTCTTTCGGTAAAGTCACATAGATAGGTTCAAAGAAAATAACAAAACTAGGACGTTTTGATCGCAACACAAGCGGTCGTCATCAGGAAAAGGGGGTTAGCTTCTAAAGGCAAACTGTTTATAAACGGTTTGTTTTTTGTTATTTTCTTTGAACCTATCTACGTAAACTTTACCGAAAGACCCAAAGAATATGAATTCCTGCAGTCACAAAAACTTTAAGTCAAGATTTATCTTTCTGCACTTGTGTGTTGCATCATCCCTGTCTCTTGGTCTGTCTCTTTGACTCCAGATCTCACTGTATCTGTCTGTGTCTGTCTCTTCACGTGTGTGCATCTGTGTGCGTTTCTCCATGTCTCGGTCACCTACTCTATCTCCACGTCTTTCTGTCGAGGGCCCCACCAAGTGCCGAGATATCCTCCGCGTCCGCTTTGTTTATACTTGCGCTCGTGTGCGTGCGCTTGCGCGCCTCGTCGCATCTTGCGCGGGGGGGATGCAGGTGGCGGTGGAGCGCAAGCAGGGCGTGAGCCGCATCGACATGTTGTGCGAGGAGCTGTGGGAAGAGGAGCGGGCGCGCGAGCTGCGCCAGGAGAAGAAGCGGCAGAAACGGAGGAACCGGCGGAAGAACAAATTCGGCTTGGATGGGGCGGACGCCAGCACAGACCTGGCCGAGCCTGTCCAGGTGCGGGACTAGACGTTGCACATCCGGCCTTGTTGCGTTTGTGGCTTGCAGGCAAGCGGGCTGAGAGGCTGGTTAACGCTAGCCTCCGTAACTGGACCGGATGCTTAGATTGCATATTGACAAAACGAGTTATTTTATAATGCGTCTGAATGCGACCGCATCTTCAGACTCTGTACGTGAAGATTATATGGAGAGACAAGACGAGTCGTGGCCGGAGGAAAGGAAGGTATCGAGCCTGCATCTAAACGGAGACTGGGAGTCGACAGCATGGATGACTGGGGTAGAGTTCCTGACAGCAGAGGGGAATGAGTGTCCTCTCGCCGAGTGAAATTTGATTTGGGCTTCAACAGAAAGTCTTGCTTATTCGAGCAGCGGCCCGAATAAGTCTGCAGCTGCATTTATATGATTTGGCAGTTTTCCACCAAGTTTTTTTCGTAACAAAAATCTTGAGTTTGCTGATATTTAAAAATGTAGCAATTTGATTTAAACGTCCTCTTCACAGTCTCCCTCCTAAACAGCGCTGACTGTGTGAAAAGGGCTGCCGTTGCTCAAATGAGAAGCCAAGGTGGGCTCTTTGCGACGGGTTTGCAATGTTCTCATCAGATGTTTTCTTCTCACCACCGCCGCGCACAGGAGGATGCCGACGGCTCGGACGACGGTGACGGAATGAGCGATGCAATCCCAGCTCTTCCCGCGGCCAGCACCTCCCCGGCGCCGCTGGCCTCCGAGGTCGGCGACGGCGCGTGCATGTGCCTTTTTGCCACGGACGGGCCCCAGGCCACCAACGGGCACGTGTTGGCCGACCACCGCAGCACAGAGGCGACTCTCCAAGGCCAGTTCGTCAGTCCCTGACGCCACGCGCGGGGTACCACTGGCCCGTTTTCTTTCGCATTTATTATAAAATCGAAAGGCTGCACACGTCTGTAGGCCTTGGTTGTCAATCCACCGCTGGATGAGAGCTCCCACTTCCCGCACTGTTATGGGCTGTGGAGGTTGCTTGACTGCGCTGATCAGTGTTTTCTCAGTCATTCACGAACCAGTGGTGAATGACCGAAGGGACATTCAGTCCTACTAGTCATGGGTCACCAGTGACCTTCCAGCGAGCCTTCGACACGCATGGGTTTTTTTCAGGTGCTCTGGTTTCCTCCCACATGTAAACGCTTTCTGAATTGCCCAATAAGACCTTGATACATAGAGGACCAAAGAGCTTGGCCAGCAGTTGGTGCCGGCTTGACGCGTGGCTGCCTACCGGCTCGTCTGGCTCCTTGCCACCGGGGAGTGATCGTTCTCTCTCTTTGTGAGAGCGAGTAACTGCTGGTGCAGTGCATGGCAAGTTGAAATCGTTACAAAAGCGCGCGCACATGACGCTTTGCACGCGGCCACGGTGAATTTGAACGTTTACTGTGCGCAGGCACCTTCAAGGTGAACGGGAGCAGCGACTGCGGCTACTCGTCCAGCGCGGAGGGCAGCGAGCCGGGCTCCCAGGACGGCTCTGAGGGCAGTGGCCAGGGCGACGCCGGTACGAGAGGCACGATCGGTGATCAGTGATGGGAAACGGGCCCTTTGAGTGTTCCTAGTTGTTTCGAATTAACGCAAAAAGAAAAATATTTTTGGAAAATCTCACCGAGACAGGATCTTCCGGATCCCAAAAATTCCCCGTGCTTTGCCTTGCAGGAGTGGCGTCGGATGACATCGTGTCACGTCACTTTTGTTAGCACAACGATTCGTTAAATTATTGCAGTATGCAAATGTCTCCAACGTTTTCCTGAATTAATTTTTTAAAACTGAAACTCATTTCTACTATCCACCGTCGAGCGTGTGATGATTCACCGATTCGCCAATTTGAGGAAGGCGTTGTGGAACTAGCCCCACGAAAACTCACATTTATCCTGACCCCGTTCACCCCTTAACATTACATTGTCCCTCCACCCCCTCCCCCCCCGTGGGCAGCCGACCCTCGTAAAGACTTTGCGGGTTGGCTCAAGTCGCAGGGCATGAGCGGGCGCATAGCGGCCGCCATCGACAAGGAACTCGGCATCTCCAACTACGACATCCTGCTCGCCTGCTCCGAGGATGCCGAGGTGAAGGCCGACCTGCTCAAGGCAGCCAAAGAGAAGATGCCCTTCGCATTCTACGCCGTCCTGCGGCGCGTCGTCGAGAAGATCTCCCCCACGCCATCGCAGTCGCCCCCTCCGCAGTCTTCCCCACAGCAGCAGCAACAGCCACTGTCCGGTGCCGGCCGAAGCCCTGTGCTGTGCTCCTCCGTCCCGGCCGCCCCCTCGTCGTCCTCTTCCGCCGTGCAGGGCAAGGGCTCGCTCTTCTTCCCGCCGCCGTCGCTGGGGCCCGCGCTGGGGCCCGCGCTCGGTCTCTTCTCGGCGTCCAAGGTGCCTGTGGTGGGCGGCGCGACTTTCCCCCTGCCGCGTGTGGCTGCGGCGGCTCAGGCGTCGGCCTCTGGAGCGGGCAAGCCGGTGGATGGAGCCTTAAAGACGCTGGGCTTCTCGAGCCTCCTGCAGTCGGCGCAGAAGCTGCGCGAGCTGGAGAAGGTGCTGCTGGATGCCACGCAGCCCAAAGCGGGCGGCGATGCCGGCGGTGGAGCTGGGGCTTCGGCGGGAAACGGTGTGCGGCAGGACAAGAGCATCGCCGAGCTGCTGCAGTCGGCGCTGAACCTGAGCGAGCTGGCGGACGGTCGGGAGGCGCGTGCCACCGTGAGCACGGACGCGGCCGGCTTCACCAGCCTCAAGCAGAACAAGGAGCTGACGGAGCTCATCGAATCTGCCAAGAGGCTGAGCAACATGTACATCTCGGAGGCGGGCAAGGAGAAGGCAGAAGCGGCCAAGGGGGCGAGGCACCAGGACGGAAGCGTCTCCGCCTCGTCCGGCCTGGCGTCCGTCCTCTCGGAGGCGCCCAAGAGCGGGAAGGCAGCCGTGAACGGCCTGAAACCGGACCAGAGGCTCGCCAACCTGGTGCAGGCCGTGCAGAAGTCCTCGGCGGCCTTCGGCGGTGGCCAGGATGGGGGCAAGGAACGGAAGGGAGCGACGGCGGATAGCAGGACCCCGCTTATGCAGCATTCGGCCGCCAGTGAGACAGGTGAGATGTTTAGTTGTGAAGCACCGATCATCTGCGCCGAGCCCATTGAAAAGAAAGAGAGGCGAGGGGCACGTCGGAAAGCGATTTTTATTTTATTTTCCAAGGAGCAAATACGAAGTGCAGGATTTGAGGAGGGGATCCTTAAAGGGCGGTTTGAGGATTGCGGCAAGGGACGGAGAGAGGGCAGCTGGGGCAGCAGTGTACAGGAAGTCGATGAGAGCAGGGAGTTCAGACGAGGAGGAGGAAGAAGAGCAGGAGGAAGAAAACGGGTTCGCCCCGGATGATTGAGCAGCAAGCGCCGAGGAAGAGTCGGTCAGATGTTGGATCGGTCAAAAAATAACCACCGTTTCTTTCGCCGAGATCTGGCGTGACCAACGTCGGTAACAGACGACATGCAAAGTGCCCTAAGGGCAGCGAGCGAGCAAGTGGCAGTTCGCGTGTCACTTGAGAGCAGTGAGCAGAAGCAACAGAGTAAATGTTGGCAGTGTTTCGCAGCAAATAAATACATGTTCATGTCATGTGCTATGTTTGGCGAAGTGAATTTCTTTCGGCAGCAATCGTACACCGGTGTTTGAGATATTGAAGCATTGGTTGCAGACGGGATGAGAAAATATGTTTGTGCTTGCAGGTCGCATTCATTTATTATGCGAGGGTGCGCAGTGGGTATTTTGACAGTCCTCATCCCGGAAAGCCTCACGGACCATCGTGAGTCAGTCTTGAGCCTTCCTTTTTAGGAGAGGCATGCTTGACATGTTTGGAAAATTTCTTGTTGAGTGTTTCTATAGAGTCTATAGCCAAACAAATATGCCGGGATTATCATTCTCATGTCCTTGCCAGTGAAAACAGAAACATGTATTATAGGAGACATAACGTTGTGGGTCCTGGAATTGTATTCTGAGGATATAAAACAGACCATTGCCTGTCATAAACAAAGGTCATTGCTCAAAATGTTAGTCGAACGCGTTTTCCTGTTTATAAGGCTGTGCTAATGACGGCAGGTGTGCGATTGTGATTCAATCGCCCAGGATGCATCGGATCTTGCCTGATCTTGGAATGTAAACTGGACGTGCCTCTGTTAGTACTTTGCAAAGTAGGCCTGGGATGCAATGTGACCAAGAACATGGTAACACGGCAGTGGATGAATGAACTAGCTGTGCAGGGCTTTTGAGTGTTGTATACACATGCAGCAGGTTACATGATTTGCTGAGAATTGTGAAGCCAAGCGAGAGTTTTGCCAGTCCAGGTGGCAAAACACTCGAGAGTATAATTGGCCGAATGTCAGAAAGCAGGACCCTCCTGAAACAGTTTTCAGACTCGTTAAACAAAGAGTATGATAATTCACGTAAATCGAGTAGCACTTTGTGGTTCGTTGATAGTGACTATTGTGTGTAAACCCCACTCCGCCATGGGAATGTGGACTTTCCACCACCAGCGGCTTGGGACCCTCTAAAGGCGATTGATGTTCTCCCCAGTGCTCTTGGCATGGAAGGACACAATTCTGACTTTGACTTTTATCTTCAAGCAAAAACTAGTTTACACGCACATTCAACACATGACGATGCTGACCCCATTGTGACCTCTCTCTCTCCCACCCTCCCCCCCATTTAAAACCACCCCGATGCGATCGGTGCTCCGTGCCAGGTTGCCGTGTGGATGGCGGCGGCGGCGTTGAGAAGGCGCCGGCGGGGTGCTGCCCCGAATGCACCGCAAAGTCGGCGCTGCCCCTGGCTGCCGAGACGCTGCCCGACGGCGGCAAGAAGAAGAAGAAAAAGAAAAAAAACCAGGGGCAGCAAGCAGACGTAAGCGTCGGGCGGATGTCACGCACACCCCACCCCCGTGCTGTCGGGTTGCTCACGTGCACCCTCGGGCCGAGATGTGTATCTTGCTTTTGCCTGTCTGCGGAAAAACCTGCTGTGCTTAATTTGGCTCTGTTCGTCGTTGAAAGGGCGGCAGGCACGGGATTGTTGGCTGAAACTGGCCTGCACTGCTTCTGTTGTCAGCGGCGTTTGTGTTGTGCTTTGTGCGTGTTGTGCGTGCGACTGGTAGTGTAGCGGTTCGCGTGCTGTGCTGCGAACCCGGCCACCCGAGTTTGATTTTCCGCCCGCGGCCACCAACACCGGTGACCATTGCAATTATCTGAACTGGTCCTGGATGTCCTCTAGGTCGATTCGGCCTCAAATTAGTCACGCATGAGGTGTTGGACACCAATGGTAGCGTCTGCATTGAGCGCAGGGTGATTTTTCGTGAGGTCACTTTTTCACTTTGACCTTTTGGCGGGTCACAGCTTGAAGGGAGGGAAAAAAAGATCAGCATTTTTGAACTCGGCGAGCCCAAAACCACCTAGGGGAATTTTTCTAGCAAAATCCTAGATGGTTGACTTGTTACTGAATGACCCACAGGCTGTCCTGTTGTCCAGAGTAGCATAAGTTTGTTTTGTACACTGTAGTAATTGTTGTCTTGTTACAATATATTGAATCGTGACCCCCCCCCCCCAAAACTTTTGACAATCCAACTTGTGGAGAATATAAAAGGTCACATCCCATATATTCATGTCTGTTGACTCATGAGGTTTGCATTACACATCAGTGTCGGTATTCCCAACGTTCATGGAAACTGTAGCACAAAACTTTTAAGAATGGGAATTCAGTGCCTGTTCCTGCCACCTGTCTCCCCCGAGGAAGGACCCCTTACCCACCTGTGCATTGCAAACACTACGTGCCACACGGGCAAATACAAATCGATTGGTGACTCGGAATACCGGACCCCCAAGTGTTACGTTCGTCCGGTAGTGAAGGGCAATAATCGTTATAACCCTGGTTAAGTGTTTCTGTTGAATTCCTTCGCTTCAACGCATGTTATTCTGACCCCACCAAAACCCGTTAGGAGCCGGACGACGTGGGTGCCGCCACCGTGTGCGCACAGCTGAAGCTTGGGGTGTGCGTGAGGTGCGACGGCTGCGGCGCCGTGGGCCACCGCCCGCCCGACAAGGGAATCCCGCTGCTCGCTGCCGCCATCGCCCAGCAGCCCGAGCTGAAGAAAGCACAAGCGGCGCAGACGGAAATCAAGCAGCCGGCGCAGAAGCAGGCCGATGCCAAGCAAGGGGCGAAGAAGCAGGTGGAAGCGAAACAACAGCCGCTGGCCAAGCAGCCCGACGCAAAGCACAAACAGCCGGATGCCAAGCAGCCCGCGCAAAGGCAGCCGGAAGCGAAACAGCCTGGCCAGAGGCCTCCGGATGGAAAACAGCCCGCTCAGAAACAGCCGGATGGAAAACAGGCGGCTCAGAAGCAGCAGGAAGTCAAACAGCCGCCTCAAAAACAGCCGGATGGAAAACAGCCGGCTCAAAAACATCTGGATGGAAAACAGCCGGCTCAAAAGCAAGAAATCAAACAGCCGGCTCATAAACAACCTGATGTCAAACAGGGGTCTCAGAAGCAACAGGACGCCAAACAGCCGCTTCAGAAGCAACAGGACGGCAAACAGGCAGCAGTACAAAAATCTAACGGCGTGCAGAAAGCAAACGATCAAAGGGTGGCACAGCAAGGAACACGGGCGCAGCAGCAGAAGGTTCAGCAGCAGCAGTTGAAGAAGGGCGGGCAGAAGCGTGGGGGTAAGCAGCCAACAGGGGGCGAGGAGAAGCAGGACCCTGCCCGGAGCCTCGCTGACATGCTGGTACCCCTTCTCAGCAGACCCCTCTCCCCCCCAACCCACACACAGCTTTTGCATTTTCATTCCTCACTGAACAATCAACTTTCAATTGTCAGGGATAATGGGAGGACTGGGGTGGGCCAGATAAAATAAAATAATGGATAATGGTAAAACATATAAGTTAGGCTATGAACACGTATTCATTGTTTCGTTTGTTTTTTCTGACTGCTGTAAGCAATCGTGTTTACCTGCCCAACATGTTTAGTGGCGATGTGGGTGGCGAGTTAACGACACACCACAAGTTTTGAAGCGGCAGACAAAGTGGCGTGCGCGTAGCGATGGTTTTTCCAGCAAGCACGTTCAGTCAACTTCTCAGATAATCCGCGCATGGATAATCGAGGGTTAACTCGCATTTAATTGTTAATATATCCTAGTTGAATACTTGGGCATCTCTCGCGACCAATATTATTGACAGTAACTTTTTTTGGGTTGGATCGCGTAAATGTAAATGTGCCGTAAACACAGCGGTGGCGCCGAAGTAGTGACTAATTGGCACGTTTTGTTAACAACGTGTGACAAACCTTTACCGATCGGCTGCATTGGGTGGAGGTGGGTTTAACGATGCGATTACATTTACGCGATCTCGCCTCAAATAACTCCATTATGAAGATATAGCATCCTGTTGCACATTCAATGTTCTACTTAGAGCTGGGACGATTAGTCGAGAAGGTCGATTACTCGACAGCATTGTAATAGACTACTTTTACTGTGGTCGATTACTCGGGGGGGCCCCTTTAAAAAATTGGCGGCTGCCCCTCCCACCCCTACCCGTCCCCCACCCCCTCCCACGTCCCATCCCGCCTTCCGAACCAGCGTGACGCGGCTGATGATGCAGATGACGTCACCAAGCGCTGCCCATCTTCACCTCCCGTCCAGCGGCGCACGTGGGAAGAGGCGAGCCCTTTTTTGTTCCCCCCCCACGACTTATTTTCGTGCCGTCCAATTAGCCGAGAGTAATCGAACCGATAATCGGATGTCCCAGCTGTAAGTCGTGTCTCGGTAGCTTTCCAGATATGCGGTTTAAAAATGCGGACACCTTCCCTTGGCGCCGGTTTGTAAATAAAATAAGAGATCGTTCCAATGAAGCTGTCAACTCTCGTCTACGTACGTGTCTTTTTGTGGACGCAATTTCCCTTTGCATAGGAATGTCGACTTTCCACCACTGATTTTTAAACATACGGGCACTGCTGCATGCTTGCTTGAGCATTCTCGTCACTGCCGACTTAAGTTATTACTCAGCGTAAATTCATTGAGGTCCGCGGAGGGTTTTTGAATTTCAAGTTTTTACGGGTTTGCGTGCGCGATCCCCTCCACGTCATCGCTTCTGACATTAGCGTTGACCCAAAGCCCCACGTTAAAAGCATAGCTGGTCCAACCACCTTTGTACAGTTCATCATGCACTTGGGGTCATTCCAGCTTCATCAGAATCTGTATTTATCCTGGAGAAATCCGATGAGCTATGAAGCTCTTTTTTCACAAGTACAGTAGGTTCACATGATATTTGTCCCATTCAGGGACTTCAGGGGAATGTCTGGATATTCACAGCATCTGTTTGCACAGTGCGTGTGGAAGCCATTGTGATTAACCCGAATAATCTCTTTTCTCCTCTTCCTACCTTCAATCTGCCACTTCCGCCACCTCTACCATCACCACAAACACCACCACTGCTGTCGCCATCATCATCATCATCGCCATTGTTACCATCGTCACCACCATTGTCACCACCATCATCAATGCCACCACCACTGTTACCATCGCAGGATGACAGTGACGACTGTTTCCCGGACGCGGAATCGTTCATCTCGCCAGACGAGATCCGCTCGTTCAAGGCGAGCCACCGCGCCTTCTACGTGCAGCGCGACCAGTACCGGCAGCAGCTGCAGGAGCGCTTCAACCAGTACTGCAACGCGCACAACGGGCCCTGCGATCAGCGCTGTTGCAATGGCAAGTGGCTGGCCACCGCCGGCGTCAAGTAGAGCTGCTGCTGTCGGTGGGGGCGTCGAAATGGCGGGGAGAGGAGAGGAGCGGTGCGGGGTTGGGTGGGGGGGAGGTGGCGGGGGGGGGGGGTTGGCAGGGATGGCGAGGGATGGTAAAGAAAGGATTGGAAAAAGGAATGCGGTGTGTGCAGGATTGCAGAATTCACCACCACCACTCGTTAATTTGTTTCTTGTTCCTGACCAGAACCTCTGAGATTTTGTTCCGCTGTTAATTTGCCGTTTGGCAGGTATGGGACTAAAGTCGACGGTATAAATTATAAAATCTGTTGAACTGGTTGTTTTTTTTTCTTTAGCGAATGTTGCGCAGTTGTTTGCAATTGATCATTCTCCTTTCTGAATAAAAAAAAAAGTAGTTATTTTTTTTGCCTTTGTTAATTTGCTTGCCTTGCGGTTCTGTCGTTGGTCCATCGCGTCGGGCAGGAGTAATGTGTCCGCTGCAGGTGCGCTCGCTCTGAGGATGCGCAAACACGCTTGGCACATGTTCAAAATCGTGGTCCTTGTATTAACACCCAGACAAGAAAACACCTAATGACATTCTTTTGAACACTGAAATTGTCTTCTGTGCTAACGTTGTTGATCATCAAATTTATTAAGTCTTTTTAATTTTAGTGCTATTAAAAAAATAAATGTTTTAAATTTCTCATTTAAGAATGTATGCTGGTGAACCTGGTGTCAACGGTGGATTGGGGGGAGGGGTGTGGGTTGGGGTGGATGGTGGGGGGGGGGCAACAAGAGTGAGTCACATATCTGGCGTAAAAAACTAACACCCCCCCCACCGCCCCCCTCTCGGAAGATGCATGCATCTCTAAAATATGGTTAAGCATCGGAAGCACCAATTTAGTCTGTACTTGTTTACAAATTCAACCAGTCTAAGGGTTGTTTTAATGAATGGATAGTGTCTCGCTATCGGGATTGAAGGTAATCCTGTCTGTGCTTTTGTGCATGGCGCGCGTTGAACGTCTTCGCCGATGGTGGGAGGCTGTGTCATCACCTGTAGCGTGTCTCCATAAAATGTATTGTAAACTCAAACTTTGCCAGTTACGACTTTTTTTTTTTAAGATTTCTGCAATATTTTGAAATCTTGTGTAATGTTTGAAGGTATAATATATTCATAATCTATAGAATTTTGAATAAACTATATTGATATGCACGCCGCAGGTCTGTGTGAATGCTGGCAGGTTGGGGGTCCTTTTCAAAGTGATCTTCACACACCCATGTGTTGGTTTATTGTAAAGGACCCTGAGGTGCCATCGCAAAGCACTCTTGCATTTCCACCACGACCTCCCCACCCACCCCCCCTGCCCAAGGTCTCCCTTGGTAATGGGTTCCTCGTTTTATGGAAATACAGGTACAGCCCTTTTACGGGCGCCACGATGGTGAGATGTTACCAACCTCCCCTGGTATACAGGAGGTCGTGGGTTCGATCCCGACCCTGATGCCTGCTGTATATTTGGAGTTTGCGTGTTCTCTCCGTGCTCGTGTGGGTTTTTCTCCCGGTCCTTCGTGTTTTCCCTCCATTTAGAAACATGTTTGGAGTATTTGGCTGCTATACATTTCCACACGATAAGCCACTTCGTTGAGCTATCATTTGTGGCCAGGTCGCTTCTGAAAAATAGCTACATAGCTCAGTGGGTCTTACCTGGTAAATTAAAGTTTAGTTTAGTCAAGTGAATTTACTGTTGGATGAGGGCCTCCCCCCTGTGGAGCATTATACTGGACATCTGTGAAAGAGCTGTAGCTCATCGGATTCCCCCAGTATGAATAAACATGGTTCATTTAGTCCATACTTCACCATGCTGTTCCTTGAAGGTGGGGAGCATGGATATCATTGGAACGCCGTAAAGTGGCTGGTGTTGGTGTCTGGTCACAACCGCATCCTAACCTTGAAGGATTTAAAGGTCATATGTCAAGCTGCCCCAATGGTAAACCCTTGCACGTACAGCCCTTTTTTTCCAGTCCACTGCTGGATGAAGGCCTCCCCATGCCATGGGGGTCGTGAAGGTTACTAGACCACAACACCAACACTGGACATCAAACGCATGTTTCAAACTAAGCTTTATTGTGGATCACAAACGGTTACAAATGATGGTATAACATGCACCCACCCGTGCTACAAAATGTAAATGTCGCATATATTGGCTGCGAAAACTTTATAGAAAGATTGCGGTTCTGCGTTGTGCAGAACACTACTGTTGTGGTCAGCCCTGCGCGTGTGGTTCCCTTGCCACTGGTGGCAGAAAGAAAACCACAAACCTCTGGGGACAATTTAAACCAGCAGGTCATTTGGGTGGATGGGCGGGGGGGGGGGGCACAGTCATGAATTGTGTCAGTGTAGGGGTGTCTATAATTTATCCCACAGCAACGAAGGGTTGCCTATATTTTAATCTGTTAATCAATCGGGATTTGGAGCTGGTTGCTCCTGACTGCCCCGGTTGGTTCTGATGTAGGGGTTATGGTTATTAGTCATGAGATGGTGTTGGTCGAAAGTCACGGAGAACTTGGCAGTCTATAATAAGAAAAAATGATTAACATGCAGAATACGCAAGAGACACGGGCGGGTTTGAAAGTTCCACAAATCTCTGCACCCCCCGCAACACCTTTATAAGTGCTTAATCTCAATCGGAGGTTTAATCTGAACCGAGTCGGTCCCGCATTGGGCCCAGGTCAGTGACCTGTAAAATATTTTCGCACCTGGCACACCATCCAGTGTACCTCTTGTTATGACTTTGGCCAACTCATAGCCACGTGACAACGACTGCGTTCTTCGGACACCCAGAAAATATCCGGTGAGAAATGCAAGCCCCCCCACCCCCGTGCTTGCACCGCCGACGTTTTCCAAGCGTTGGCGGCAGCTTCAACGGAAGCCGAATTCTGGCTCTGAAGAGCGGCGGCTGGCAGACGTGCTAGTGCTTGGAGGGTGCCGCGTCACCCAGCATGTGCCAGCGCTCCACCCGCTTGTCCGGGTACTTGAGGCACTCGTACCAGTGCTTGAGTGCTTCTCCCGATGCCTTCGCTCCCAGCTCCACGGAGCCTGCGGTGGGAGGGGAAAACCGTGGCAACGGAACATCAGCTCTCACCCGGCGTTCGGGGTGGGTGAGTGCTCGGGCACGTGACAAGGTGAGTGAAGGACGCTACTGGGCAGTTGGAAGGCAGTCGGCCCTCCCAAAAACAACTGAGGGCAGAGGAGCGACGGTCACAACAACGAGTGGAGTGCCCGGTGGCTAAAATGCAGCTAGTTGGGACTGTAGAGGGCACAGCTGATTGCATCTGCTCGTCAACTAATGGCACCTGGGTCTGTCCCGTGACCTGCCAGCGAGACATCGACTCTTTAAGCGGCCTCAAAAGTGCACCGCGCCTGGCACAGGTGCCGTGGTAATGTCACCGTCGCTTTTTTATGCGAATGGCGGCTGTTTTTGTTGGGCTTGTGAGTTGGTGTCAAGTGGGGTGAATGAGTGAGAGCAGAGTAGGTGAGTTGGTTCATGTGAACGGGTTGAATGAGCGAGTGATAGGGTAGAATGAGTTGGTGTGGGTGGAGTGGATGAGGAATTTACTTCAGTTGGTGAGTGAGCGGACCGGGCGAGGGAATTTGCGAGTGGCTGACCGGACACACGAGCGAATGAACGTGCTCAATATTTTCCACCGGCCACCTGTGTGACCACACAAGCGGTCCCATCACTCCGACCGACACCAAACACCCGCCATGCTCCCCCCCCCTTCTCTCTCTCTCCCGACCCTCACCGATGAAGTCGTTGGACTTGCCGAGGTCGTAGTCCCACACGGCGACCTCCAGGCTCTTGCCGGCGAGCTCGTTCTGCCGGAGGGCGAAGAAGAATTCCTGTGGGTTACGGGAAGGGCTTGGGTTAGGTTGGCAGGGAAGGGTTACTCCTGGGAGCGGGGCGTGGCATGCGAGCGCGCATGCGGTTCTTCATGGGACCTCCCTTGCCAGTCTCAAAATATGAGAATAGGTTTTACCCTTTATGGCACTAAAACAGGTGTTAAGATATTACAACACCTAACAACATTTTGCAAGGAATCATGTGGGCATTAATCACATATACTTGTGGCGAACATGCAAACAAAAAAAACACATAACTGATCATATATGCATTGCCTTTGAAACTGATTGGTCCACAGCAGAGACAGCTTTCTTTAGAGCCAAGTCTCAAACGGTGTTAGACCAGAGGACGCCAAAAGGCGAACAGCACAAGGACAATGCCACTATCAGGACATTGAGAGCTCGGGATGAGCAGCTACATCATTCCCATGTTGATTCTAAATGTTTCTGTTTCGTGTTTTAACATCTTAACATCTGTTTTATTGCCAGAAAGGGTACAAACCATTCTTATAGCACGAGTTTTCATTCGTGGCCTCTCAAGATTTGCCCTATGTGAAGGAGCACTCACCCGGCGTTTCTGGGTGGGCGAGTGCTCGGGCACGTGACAAGGTGAGTGAAGGACGCTACTGGGCAGTCGGGAAGGGCGGTCGCTCTCCGGCAACAACGGAGGGGCAGAGGCATGACGCTCGCAACATTGAGCGGAGCGGCGGGCGGCTAAAGCACGGCAAGCTGGCACCATAGGGAGCACAGTCATCTCTGTCAGTCAACCCACGGCACCTGGGTCTGTCCTGTGACCCGTCGGCAAGATTTCCACATTTCATGTTGCGCCATGTGCCGTATTGTGTACAAGTTACCCGGCACTCTGTGTGCACGAAGTGAATCTGTACGTGACTGCGTGGGGCGCTTCTCTCGCCCTTCCCAATTACATTGCAATCGCCGCCATCGCGTCACCAGGTGATGTTCATTCATGACTCTGGCAGCCAGGCAGGCAGGCAGCAGCAGCAGCGCACCCGTCACCTGGTCATCGCCAGCGAACGGCCGCTTCGTTCGTCCACCGCTCGAGACCGGGCAGCAGCACCTCGCGTCCCGGGACCTCGTTTTGTGAGACGCGCGAGATTACGTAACCTGTTGGTGTGGGGGAGGCCCTCACCTCGTTAAACTCTGGGTTGAGGCACTTCTTTTTCACCGCGGTCTTGAATTTGAACTTCTTCCCGGAGTCGGGGTTCAGCTGTCTGCTCGCGGAACAACACGTGGGGGCGGGGGGGGGGGGCATACAGGGGTGTAAGCGGGCGGCTCACGTGAGGAGCGGCGGGCACAAACTGGGCCGCACAGGGACAGCTGCCAATGGGAGTCCCCTCTCGACTAGACTGGCGTACGGTTGAGATGAGATGTAAGGCGCCTCAAGTTGCCGAGGCATTAAGTAAAGGGCCCTGTTCATGCAAATCCTTCACCTTAAATGATGACCGGTGAAGCGAGGTGACTGGGAGACGTTGTGAGTGTGGGAGACACGGGGATGAAAACAGGCGAGACGGGGGTGACGGCTCACATTAGGGGTGGGAGACGCAGCGTGATGGGGTGGGTGTGGGAGACGCGTGGAGACGCGGAGAGGCACGGGGTGACGGGGGAGGCGGGCGTGGGAGACACGGGGAGACGACGCGGGGTGACGGGCGCGGGTGCTCACATCTTGACGAAGGGGTCCGAGTAGCCGTTGGAGTCCATGGAGGCGAGGTGAGCGCAGCGCATCACGGACACGACGAGGCCGCCGCGCTGGCTGCTGTAGAGCAGCGCGAGAAGCACGCGGCCGCGCTCCCGCTGCGCTGACGGCTCCCCCGCCTCCCGCTCCGTCTGCGGGAAAACGAGGAGAGAAAATAAACGCGCATGGATTCTGCGACGGATTTGCAACACGCGTTAGATTCTCAGGTTGTTCAACGGAGATGATGTCACCATTATTATTATTATTATTATTATGCGTTATGTGCGTACATATGTTGAATTTCTTTCGCGGCCGTATGTAGCCAACCGTGCGAATCGAATTAAGGCCAATGTCTTAAACAGAGGGTCCTTGCCTATAACGTCTGGCAATTTCACCAGCGTCGATTCAAACAGTGACGGTGACAAAATCGGTCCAGAGTTTTGCTTGATCCGAGTCAATGCAATTGAAATGACGGACTTTCAGAGGTCTGGGTAGATTCCGTTTCTAAAGGTTTTTAGCGACACAAATTGGGCCAGATCAATATACGTGCCCCCCCCCCCCCAACAAAATAAATTACGAATCGCAACGCCGGCCGCAAAGAGCCCTACTCGCTGAAAAAGGAAACGCATCGAGAGCGACGACTTGACGGTGAACGTGAAGGAAGGAAGGACGAGGGGAGCGGCGATGGAACCCCGGCACTCACGGGGAGGCGCTTCTCCAGGCACACGTTGTAGCTCTTGGCCTGCTGGGGGCTGAGCCGGCGCAGGGCGACGCGCGTCTCGCCAATGAACTCGTTGTGACCGATCCGATCCTGGTCGAACACCGAGACCCTGGCGCAGGAATGCCGCAGAGAATCGGGAAGACAACAAAAAAAAAACGAACCACAACGGTGAATAACCGCCTCTGTCGGGGGCTGTGTGGAGGGAGGGGGGGAGGCGGGGGGGGGGGGGCAGTGATCACAAGCTACGATTGGAAGAAAAAGAGGTTATCAACATTTGCGTCGAAATTATTGGAATTATTTTACAGCCCCCTTGGTCAATCCACTGCTAGACGAAGTGTTTCTGAGTGTCACAATTAAATTATAATGCACTGCCCCTTTTTTAGTTCCACTGCTCAACAGCACTTGCCCCCAACAGTCTGCCAGAGGCTACACAGGGGGGCATCTTCGGTCATTTGCGAGCGACTTGTGCGACGATGGGCGTGGCTGCGTGCGTGCGTCCGTACTGCAAGGTTTTTTTCAAGATGTCCTCGTCCGTGATGCCGTGGTACGTGAGGCGCTCGTTCCACTCGGGGTTCAGCGTGTGCTTCACCGTCCTGGAGCGCAGCTTATTCGCCTGAGAGGGCAGCACACACCGCACACATCCACGATGGGGACAGGCAGGAAGGGCCACCCACCCTCTTTGGTTTTTCCCTCCACGTTCAGAATCAACGTGCGCTCAAGAGTATTTGGCGTCTATATAAATGCCCACGTGATGACGCTATCGCTCAGTTGGGGGCTTTACCTGGCAAAAAATAAATAGTTTCGTTTTAGAGAGGTAGGGAGGGAGAGAGAGAGAGGAGTGAGGGAGAGAAAGGCAGGGAGAGAGAGAGAGGAGTGAGGGAGAGACCACCAGCCAGGCATCTGTCTTCACGGCCACAGCGGCACCAGCAAGCCGTGACCCCGTCGGGTAAGGACAGGCGGTGATGCCACGCGACGCTTAACGTTGAATTCCTACAAATATCAGTGACGTTCATTCCTGCTGCGTCTCGCAACGCTGCCGTAGCAGACTTTGTAACGCGGAGGTTCAGAGGGGTGGGGGGACATCACAGACGAGCCGAACGGCGACCAGAGCCGGCGCTATACAGTGCCCACAATTTCCCCAAGCTCTGTGATCCTATATTAAGATGTTTGGCCAACGACGATTAAACAACGACGACGACGACAACAACAATTCGTAACAGGTGAAAAAAACGCCACTATAAATGGTCACAAATACTTAGAAGCGGAGAGAATATTACCGAATGTCAGGGAGTAGGTGGAACAAATATTGTACGAGTGTTTCGGTCTTAATACTCAAACACAGGATAAAGACCGAAACAGGAAGACTTCTTCACAATTCTGGCGAATACGCCCGACGAAGCGGCTCGTTGTCATCACCAGCGAAATGCCGCACTCGAACTGTGAATGTTATGGGTTTCCTCTCCAACGCGCCGGGTGCGTGCCGGAGTAGCATCTGCTTGGCATGTTTTGTTTACGCGATAAACCCTTTACTAATTGGGTGGCGGGCGGATTCAACGACACCTTTATATTGACGCGATCCAAGCCAAAAAATAAATAACAAAACCTTTGTTACGGATAATATTGGTCGCAAAAGTATACTACGTGTTAAACAGTATTAGGGGCAGCAGCGCCGTGGTGGTGGTGGTGAGGGGGGCGCGGTAACTGGGGGGGGGGAGGGGGGGGCACCGGCTCACCTTGCTGGCTCCGGGCATGAGATGCAGCTTGACGTAGGGGTCCGCGTGCCCCCCTGAGTGGCTCCTCTTTAGACCCTGCGGTGGGGGGGGGGCAACTTTATTGTTGAGAGCCGAGGGCCATGCAGCAAAATCCATTGTTGTACTGCCCTTCTATGCTCCCCGCGCCTTTTCCCATCCGCGCTGATCGTCACCCCGTTGACGGAGGACGGGCAAATGACCCCTCATGACCCACCGTGGCATGGGGAGGGCCCTCATCCAGCAGTGGGATTGACAAAAGCTCGGTGAACGTTCAAAAACGTTGGGCCGACGTTGGCGTGGGGTTACAACAGTTGGAACCAACGTTGCGTGTGCACGAGGAGGGCCGTGTAGGCACAAGCTATTGAACGTAACGTAGGAATAAAAACGCGGCAATTTTTTACTCAAATGCTTCGAGTCATTCAGCCCGTTTCTAAATGGTCGCCCAGTGACTAGGCAGAGCCAGTGGTGCAGTGCGGATGTCATGGGCCCTGTAAACTAAACTATTTTTTGTTTATTTGACGAGGTAAAGCCCACTGAGCTCTGTAGCTCTTTTACAGAAGCGACCTGGCCACAAATGATGGCTTATCATCACGTGGACATTTATAGTGGCGAAATACTCTAAACGGGTGATGTTGATTCTAAATGTGGAGGAAAAAAAAAATGGAGGACCCGGAGAAAAATCCACACGACCCCACACAAGAACATGTAAACTCCAATTACACAGCAGGCGTCGCGGTCAAACCCACAACCTCCTGTATACCGGGCGAAGTAGTTAACATCTCGTTACTGTGGCGCCCCTGTAGTCCATGGGCCCGAGCAGAATTTGGTATCACCTTGTGTAGCGCAACTTACGCAGTACGTACGGGTTTATTTATATGGCTAGTACGAGTTAACGATTCCATAACCCCAACTCACATGGTTAACGCACGATTCGCTGTTGCTGGCCGCACAGAGAATTTTGGAACCATCCAAACTGCACCACCTCAAGTGGTGCAGTTGCACCGCCTTCACCACTCACTCGATAGCCACGTGCACCGCAAGCAGAGAAGGAACGCCGATGGAGGGGGTGGGCCACAGAGGTGCACCTACCCTGGCACGGAGCAGCGTGCAGTGCAGCATGTTGCCGGTCTGGTCGTAGAGGAGACTGAACTCGAGGCAGCCGAGCGTCGCTGCAAAGAGAGCGGAGCGGAACGTTCAGCGGCGGAACCGCGACGCGCCGCCAGCGTCACAAAAAAACCTCCCGGCGACAGTTCCCTCGCTCACCAAACCCCTCCGCTCACACGGAGACGACCGATCGGTAGACCGGGCAGCGGGGGCGGTGGTGCTGCGAGGGTCGGGGGAACAGCGTCGAGAGGGCGGAACGGGGTGGGGGGGGAAGAATAGAGAGATGAGACCAGGAGAGAACAGAGGCAGAAACACAGAGAGAGGAACGGAGGAGAGAGGAGTGGAGAGATAGGGGGACACAGGGAGGGAGACGGAGGGAGAGTTGAACACAGATCGGGGACGCAGAGATGAGAGCAGAGAAGGAAGAGGGGGAAGAGAGGGAAGCAGACAGATGCAAGGACAGCGGGAGAGGAGTACTGAGAGGGGAACACAGATTGTAACAGAGAGAGAGAGCGGAACGGAGAGGGAGGCCGAGAAGGCCGAGACTCACTGGCATCGTCCGAGTCGTTTGGGTCGGCCTGCTGCTGCTGCTGCGACGGCGTCGCGGCGGTGGTGGCAGCGAAGGCGGAAAAGGCGCGGTCGACGTCGTCGTCGGCGTGCGACGAGGTGGCCAGTGACGACGAGGTGTCAGAGGGGGCGAGGGAGAGACGCGAGCGCAGCGACCCCTCTGCAAACCACCGCCCCCCCCGCACCCCACAGCGCGAGCAACGTCACGCCGGCTCTCGCCACCACACGTCACGCAAACACCGAAGTACCATAATGCCCTGGGGGGGTTTGAACTAATGAGACCTCGTCCGCTTCGGTACGGGGACCGCAAGTCTCCATCGTAGTCTTGTAAGACATCTCTGTATCCATATCAGCGCGAGCCTCCCCTAAACCACATGACCTGTGTGTGTGGGCTACCCCCACCTTGAATCCCTCCCCTCTCACGGCCGCCCGCTGTGAAAACAGACGCCGCTCCTCCGTGCAGCAACAGCAGCAGCAGCAGGGTCCTGATGTATCCACCTCTTCCTCTCCATCCTCACCTCTCCTGAACCCTTTGCTCCCGTTTCTCAGTTTATTTTCTTGGCATCGCTTCCGTCCTTCTGCCAGAATCTAAGGGAGTTGCGCAGTCCGGACCTGACCGCTCTCAAATCTCCACGGAGGGTATGTAGTGCGGCGGCGGTTAGCGCTACGCTGCGCTACGAACCCGGCACACTCGAACTCCATTCCCGCTCACGGCCAACGCCAGTGAGGATTGTCTGAAATGGTCCTGAGCCTCCCCTTAGGTCGACTCGGCCTGAAATGAGTACCCGGTGCGGTGTGTAAACACCGCCGCTGCGGAGACAAAGGTCACCCACCCCCTCGTGTGCCGTGTGGGCCTTCACAGGCGCTACTCGTTAACAGCACTCACCCCCAACAGTCTGTTAAGACTACACGGGGAACTTTGATGCTTTATAAACATAACTGGAATGAAGCCCTAAACCTGCTGCCGAAGGAATCCTAACTGCGCGACGTTTGAACGTTGGTTCTCAAGCTGCACGTGACGTGCGAAGGTGTCACGTGCTCGAACTGGGGATTAGTGTTCTAGACAGTCGAGAATCATGGATCATGGTGCACAACATTCGCGTCGTGATTTCTGCGAAGAGTTTCCAGATTGAGAATGTCGCCGTCGCCGTCGCCGTCTTCTCCTTCTTACGACTACGCGGCACCGATCGAACGATTGGTGACGTTTTTTTAGGAAGGAGATTTGAGAAAAATCGAGAGAGACGATCACAGGAAGCCAAAAAGCGTTCGCGCGCGAGCGCGGCCGTGCTGCGAAGCGTCGAGGGGTTCCGATTCAGGCGGCCGTGGAGCTCGCGGGGGGGGGGGGGGGCGATGGCGCACGATCGTCCCCGCACGATCGTCCCCGCAGGGAGGGAGGCGCGTTTGACGGGGGGGGGGGGGGGGGGTGAGACGAATAACAAACAACAACAACACCACCGCCGCCGTGTTGCCCAGCAAACAAATTCCCACTTGCAGCGCTCCAGATGAAGTTTCGTGTCCGAGGGCCGTCATTTGCCTGCCGATTTTTTTACGTAAATTGCGCCGAGCTTTCAGCGGAGTAAAAAAAAATTGTGAACACTGCTTTTCTCGAAGGCGTGAGTAATCTAACTTACGGGGTTATGCCGGCTTAAATTATTGTATGGAGCTTGGGTACAATTGTAAACAATGCGCAGTGTTACAAAGCCGAGCGAGTTTATCAACTCACTCCACTGCTGGTCACAACGCTCACCCACTCACTCACCATACTGAAGGTCACAACGCTCACCCACTCACTCACCACACTGCTGGTCACAACGCTCACCCACTCACCACAACACTGCTGGTCACAACGCTCACCCACCCACTCACCACACTGCTGGTCACAACGCTCACCCACTCACTCACAATACTGCTGGTCACAACACTCACTCACAACACTGCTGGTCACAACACTCACCCAGTCACCATACTGAAGGTCACAACACTCACCCAGTCACCATACTGAAGGTCACAATACTCACCCACCACAACACTGCTGGTCACAACACTGCTGGTCACAACACTCTCACTGGTCACAACGCTCACCCACCCACTCACCACACTGCTGGTCACAACGCTCACCCACTCACTCACCACACTGCTGGTCACAACACTCACCCACTCACCACACTGAAGGTCACAACACTCACCCAGTCACCACCACACTGCTGGTCACAACACTCACCCAGTCACCACACTGAAGGTCACAACACTCACCCAGTCACCACACTGAAGGTCACAACACTCACCCAGTCACAACACTGCTGGTCACAACCCTCACCCAGTCACCACACTGAAGGTCACAACACTCACCCAGTCACCACACTGAAGGTCATACCACCTACTGACCCTCTCACCGCACTCCAGGTCACAAACACTCTCACTCACCCTCTAGCTGCTGTAGGACTCACCAACCCAGCCACCCAACCACTCTCAACACGCTGCCGGTCACCTCACCCCTCCGCTCCGGAATTCCCTCCACTCGTCTCCATTCCAGGAGTTCTCATGATTATTACCTTGATCAATTATAATCGCCTCAATTATAAATAACCTTGCTCAATTCACTCCTCATGTATTACACCTTCGCGGGTGCTGTTAGTTGCTCTGGTCACTTGTCAATGTTTGCTGGCCTTTGGGGCGCGATAATAAAAAAAATCCCATCAGGGATGAGTTTTAAATTTAAAGCTTCGGCTTTTCATAGATACGGCATAATGCAATATAGTTGTTTAATCGTTTTTTTTAATATTTCGATTGTACAGCGCTTTGAGGTGACTTGACAAGATTACGACCATTTTAATTTTTGTACAAACAATCTGTATTTTTGGGAGGTACAACTTCTGATCGTTATTTACGGATCATTTACGTTTTGTCATCGTTTAACCTGCCACGCGGCCACCACCCTTGGCGGGAAAAGTCCCGGAAGTGACGGTAAAAAAACGAGTGACGTCATTTCTAGTTACGTCATTTACAGTGATGTCATTTCCAGTGACGTCACTCGCTTCGGATCTAAATATTTATACTGCGGGTGAAATCCGATGAGCTATAAAGCTCTTTTCCACACGTGCGTGTGTGTGTGTTGGACTTCTTTCGCGCCGTACGCAGCCAATTGTGCCAATCGGAGATGTCCAGTAGGGGCACGGGGTCAGAACGTTACAACAACAAACAGTACAAAAACACGATAGGAGTGAAAAGTATAGCAAAAGGTAAACGAATTTCCTTGAACAAACGATACGAATAAAACTAAACAATTTTTTTTTATGTTACCAGGTAAAGCGCACTGAGCTATTAGCTTCTTTTTCAGAAGCGACCTGGCCACAAATGATAGCTCAACGAAGTGGCTCATCATCGTGTGGAACTTCATAGCAATGTGGAGGGAAAAAACTGGAAGAGCCCAGAGAAAAATCCACACGACCACGGGGAGAACACCCAAACTTTAAATATACAGTAGGCGTCGGGGTCGGCATCGACACCGATCGACCTCATGTATACCAGACGAGGTAGTTAACATCTGTAGCCACCACGGCGCCCAATAAATCCCACAGATTGCGCAGATTATCTGGAGCGCTGCTCACCGCCCGCCCGCCCGCCCCCTCCGCAACCCATGAAGCCAACCGCGTAGCGAGACACAAGCGAAAGTGAGGCGTCGCACACAAATCCAGAACGCATGCGGGGAATTTCTGAGTGGGGGAAGAAGTTTTTATTGGAAAGGCATGAACCGAACACAAGCCACCAAAGAGAGAGCCAGCGAGAGAGCAAACGCAGGGCATTAGTGACAAGAGAGAGAAAGCCGAGACGCGGTGTTCATTCCTTCAATTTGAATCTTCAGGTCAAAATTAGATTATTTATTCTGGAGAAATCCGATGAGCTGTGAAGCTCTTTTTCTTATTTTTCTCACAGACGTCCAGCAGGGGGGGGGTCAGAAAGTTACCCAGCTGTGGTGTTTCAGTCGGTGGATTTTTCACGCGCAGTACCGCTACTGTTGTCGTTCTCGATCGAGAGTGCGGTCGACCCGAGCAAGTTTTCTTCACTAATAATTATCTTAGGTGGTGGTGGTGGTGTGGGGGAGGGGCACTTTCGCCTATAAGACATCATCAGTTTGAGGACCGCCACAACATTTGAAACCATTGGGGTTTAATAAGGCCACCAGGGGCCTACAGTGGCCTGGGGGCCTTTATAACGAAGAACGCCTGAGGCAGCAATTCCTACACCCATCCAATATTATCAGCTCAGACAAATCGGTGAAACTCGGTAAATTTTTATTTACAGGAATAGTGGATGGCTATTTTTGGTTTTCCTCGCCGCAACGGAATCATCTCGATAATTAAATCATTTGGCGATGCTGCGTGCTCTTTGCTGCGTTGGCAGTGGTGCACAAAGCACAGTTGATAATAAATACGAAAACACGTCCGTCCATAACAACATTGTGGCCTTTAACGAAACAAATGACATATTTAGATAAAAATCGCCGTTTCAAAACATGCATTTAAATAACTTGGCTGCGACTATAAATAACCCACATTTGACGATGCAATGCCACTTCGATGAGCCATCATCAGGCGTTTGGCTAATAATCCCAGTGGGCGCTACCTGGCGAATCAAATTGTGGTCGTGTACTTTCCTGGCAATGCTTGGCCCTCAATGTTTAACGAAGGGGGGGGGAACTTGTTACCCGAAACGTCGGCGATTTTCTTCGAAGGCCCCCCCCCCCCACCACAAACACGCACGCACAGTGTTGTTGTTGACGAGTATTGTTGACGAGTGTCGTGTTTTTGCGTGAAAAATTATCTCGGCCTGCGTCTTCGTTCGGGACCCGCCTCGTCGTCGCGGTCAGCGACGGCGGGCGGTTGGGCCTTCGGCGGGCCGCTCGTGGTCACCGTTGAAGCGATTCTCGTCGCTACATTTAAAAAAAAAAAATCTCCTCGTCGACACAAATCGACGGTGGGGCAAGCGGCTAGACTCGCAGGGTTTCCCAAACTCCAGTCCTCGCGGGCCACCGCCGCTGCCGCCACGCTGCGTCTTTTCCCCGTTTTCCCAATTTACTTCTCGCACATTCAAATACTGTGCCGCTTTAACCCGTTCCACGCTGCCGCACGCGCCCGATCATTGTTGAACTCGTCCCACGTGACACGCCGAGCAATTAAACACTCTCTCTGCGTCCAGGGCACAATGCAAATGAAGATTTGAGATCTCTGCGTACGGTCTGTCGCTTCTGCGGCAGTCTGGAACGCTCTTCCTTCCGATATCAGGAAGCCACGGGAGCTATATGCACTTTTAAAAAATCCAGACTAAAAAACTAATTTTATTTAGAACAGTCTTTTGTGTTAAGCGTGTTGTCCTCCCCCCGCACCTCCGATTAGCACGGTTGGCTACGTAGAGTGCAAAAGAAGTCCAACATGGATGCATAAACATCTAAACACGTGTCCACGTGTGTCTGCGTGCGCACGCAACGCAGCGTTAATTGGTTAGCGCGCACCACATTTGGACGCGTTTGAACAATCATCGGGCACTGTGGCAGTGTGAGACGAGTTAATTTGACTGAAGGGGGGGAGGGGAGCACGCGGGGAGTAAGTTGGTAAATGCGGAAAGATGTAGCATCGTGGCTGGGCCATGAGGACTCGAGTTTGTGAAGCCCTCACCGTGTTAGGAGCGTGGCGACGGCTCGCGATTCACATTGGCAGCGGCAGCGGCACACGGAGAGCGCGCTCGTGCGAAATCAACGCGATAGCAAACAAGGGCAGGCGAGAGACGGCAATTTTCCAACCAGTCTATCAATGGCATCATCAAGGATTAGTATTATTGTTATTATTGTTGTTGGCGTTGTTATTAAGGCAGTGAGAATGAAGAAGGCAAGGCCGTGCAGCAGCCAGCGTTTGCGCGCGCAGGGAAGACGCGCTGGGGGTAGGGGGGGTAGGGGTGGGAGGGGATGTCCTGGTAAAAAACAACAACTCCATAACCCCCACGGAGAGCGCCAATCGGTCCTAGAGACATCGGGGTTTTTTGTTGGGAGCTGGGGGGGTTGTGTGCACATCGTGCACACAACCCCCCCTTGTAAGTCCGCTGCCGAACGCGAAATCTTCCCACGCCTTGGCAGCTCGTGGGGGGAGGGGGGTGTGAGGGGGTGGTTACTTAACCATACTTCACCGTGGCGGTTAGTGCTGGGTTGGTGAGGGCAAGAAGCAGAGCAGCCTTTTGACGCATGCTTTTTTATGCATGGACTGGCCACCCATTGGAGTGCTATATCGAGGCCTCTCAGCCCCGCTCAGCTTTCCAGATTGGGCACAGGCCGGGCGATTTGTTCCTTCGGCCCCGCGCCTCTGAGAGGTAAGGCAGGCAAAGCGGATGGCCAACGAGTGAATTATGAAGAATCACCGTGGATTCCAATGTGGTTGGGAGGAGCATGGCTTTACCGTGAGCTATCTCAATTCCAGAACGCACCAACAACCCTCTCCCCTTGTTATTGTTGGCCAAATAAATCATTTCGAAGCCAGGGTCCCCCCCCCCCCCCCGCCCAGCAGCGCATTTGCGGCGCGCGCAAATTAAAACACACAACGACGAAATCATCAACGCGGCAAGAGAGAGAGAGAGACGTTGCGTGCAGGGCGGTGTTACGGTAGACGTGCCTGCTAGAAGAGATGGATCGAGCCCGAGGAGGAGTGTTCTTTCTCTGTGCATAGACAGCTTTTGGAAACTCGAGCGGAAAATTAAAACAGAAAAACCGCCAAATTACCAAACAAATACTTTGCTCAAACCAAAACAAAAACTAACTCGCCGCACCCACACCGGCCTGCACGGTGAAGTAAGGTCAACATTTTTTTTTAACCCCTCCCATCCCCCCCCCCCCGGCCAATGTTAGCATGGCCTGAGCCAGGGCTCTCAGTCGCCTGCAACTCGTACCATTTTTCCACTGGCACATCGGAAGCCCAGCCAGTGCGGAGGTTTTGACATGAGCCGAGGTGTGACAAAACCGCGCTACGCCGACATCACAAGACGTAACGATTCTACTGCGGGGCCAAGTGGGGCCAAGCGGGGCCAAGCTGGGCCAGGGGCGGGGCTAACGATGCATTCATTGATGAGGACGCAGCGTCACCACGGTGGGAAGGAAAAAAAAAAACAACCCGGCCGCCTCTTAAGCTGCGCCGAGCTGGCTCGGGAACGGCTCGCATGTGCCAGTGAAAAAAGCAGCCATCTTTGTTTATGGGGCTAGATGCAGCGCGAGACTGTGATTGATGGCCACGACTTGGGGAAGGCCTTCATCCAGCAGTGGATAGAGCCAATGGCCGATCATTATGGACGATGAAACGCCGCAGCTGAATCGCGAAACGCCGCTCGGCTTCAAAACCTACGGGGCGTGCGTTCTATTTGCACGCTAGGCCCGTGCGTGTTGCTAAGCCTGTGTGAGGTTCACGCGGTTGCGCTGCAGCTAGCCCCTCCGACGTGCATTGTGGGCCGGAGCGAAACGTCGGACGTCGCGCTGAACGACACGCGGCGACGGGCGAGCTACAGCGCGCGTTCCCTTTCTGTTCCATTTGTTTTTTTTGGCGGGGGGGGGGGGGGGGTTTGCGGCAAGTCTTGTCGCAGTGTCGGCCACTTGAAATCCGCGTGGGCGAAAGCACCACCGCTGGTCGAACCGACACACCGACGATCGCTATATTTGAAAACTTTTAAAAACGACTGTAAACTAACGCAGCACCTATCGCTGTAAACGCACTGCGCGCTTTACTATTTATACCACGAAGACCAAAGTCGGGAAACCGCAGTCGACGGGCTGAGGCAGTCGACGGAACAATTCATAAAGAGTCTCTTTGGCACTTGACACTGAAACGTTACACCACAGTTACGAGCGTTCGTTAGTTCTTTTTTTTTTTGCTTACAAAGCCGCAAATTCCAAAAAACATTGACCTGCCTTGCCTCGGTTGGATTTGGCTAAAGTGATAAGGGGCCGTCCATAAATGACGTCACGCGATTTTGGAGGATTTTTGACCCCCCCCCCACCCCTTCGTCACACGGCGTCACAAAAAGTAAGACCCCCCCCTCAAATATGACGTCACAAAGCTCTGCCCCCCCCCCCCCAAAAAATATATAAAACATGCTTCAAATCGCTTTAAACTATTGTCATTGTAGTGCGTATTTAATGTGGCGCTGCACTCTGATGTTGTCGGAGAAAACATTTATTAAAAAGTCTATTTAATTAAGTAGAACGTGTTGTCTATATTTATTTAAAGTTGCGCATTTTGATGTGACGTCACAAATGTCTGACCCCCCCCCCCCAGGTGCGTGACGTCATTCATGGACGGCCCCTATAGTGGCATATGTGACAGTGTAACGACGCACCGAGTGATCAAGTAATATCTAAATTTTAGCAGGTAAGGCCCAACTGAGCTATAAAGCTCTTTTTCAGAAGCGACCTGGCTATCACAAATGGCCGCTCAACGAAGTGGCTCTCCACGTGGACATGTATCGCAAGCAAATACTCTAAACGCGCGACGCTCATTCTAAATGCGGAATGGAAAAGCATCGATTCTCGAGCATGTGATCGCATGCCCGTGTAACGTGAGAATCGACGAGTTTCGGATTTGGATTTCGTACCGATGTCAAACGCGACCCCCTGCAGCCTCTGGTGAAGGCCTTCTACATTCATGCACCCACTTTGTTAAATTAATGCCCAGTAAGCGTGGGGTTGGAACCCTTGGGGCTGTTGGGCCAACATTGTTGAGGCAACGTATAACGTTTATTTTGTGGCAACAATTCGTACCGAATCGCTGTGGAGGGCGGGGAGGGCAGGGGCGGGGGGGATTGTTACACCCCCCCGGGAGGTAACGTTGTACGGAGGGGCTCTGTAGCAGCAGCAGCACAAATGTTCCACGTAAACCCTGCGGTTGTCCTACAGCGACGTCATAATCCATAATCTGCAACGGTTACGATCGTACTTAATGAGCGGCGACACAACGACATTCTACAAACCAGATTGTGCGAGTATCGTGGGCTTTACATATATATTGCGTACGATATGTATGCATGTTGAACTTCTTTCGCACCGATCGATATGCCGTGGTATCGCCGTACCGCCGTGCATGGATGCGTGCGTGCGTGCGTGCGCGCGAGAGACGCGGGGCTGCCGCTGCCGCTGCCGCTGCCCGCGCGCCCACTAACCCCGGCTCGCGTCGCTGTCGCCGGCAGCGTCGCCCTGGCAGCTCTCGGTGGCGCTCGTCGCTCCCCCAAACCCGCCGGCGCCTCCGCCCCCGCCGCTCCCCACGCTGCCCCGGCTGCCCAGCGCGCCCAGCGCGCCCTCCAGCTTGCCGCCCGTCGACCCCGCCGGCCACGCTCCGTCGCTGCTCGCTGGGCACCAAAGGTCAAGGGTTTCGAGTCAAGGGTCACGGTTCAAGCTGTTCATGTAACGCATGTACGCCGAACTTCTTTCGCACCGTGCGTACCCGACCGCGCTAAATGGGGGGGGGGTGTGGAGCCGGTAACCGCCGAGATCCCCGGGGGTTCGTATCCGGGTTTCAGCAGCTGCTGCCTGTGATTGAACCGGGTTCTCTAGCGTAGCGAGCCGGCACTGGTTCTCCCTAGACCTCATTCGATCGACCCCGTTAGGGGGTTATAACTCCTTCGGTCACATTTTTGTGGGTAGATAAAATGAATTGCTGATCCTTGGAGTTACCCATCAACAGTTGTCGTCTCTACCAACCACAGCAGGCCCCCTGCCATAGAGCCATGGAATTTCCAACAATGGCTTGGGAGCAACCGACAAAGATGTTGAACTTCTTTCGCACCAAACGTAGCCAACCGTGCTAACCGGAGGTGCGGGGGAAGGACAACAAGATGAACAATGCCCTTCCCCCCCATCCCCTATGCGAATCTCAAGACTCGTTTGTTACAAGGGGGCTCTTGCGCTCGCAAGACTGGCCGTCGATCGTGATCCGATCGCATCTGTCGCTGTGGCCCACGACGACGACGATGATGACGGTGACGATGTTCGCCTTCGCAGCTGTTGCCGAAGACGGTGGCCGATTTTACTTTGCGATCGTTACCGCCGCCGCCGCCGCCGCCGCCACTGCTGCCGCTGGGGCGGCCGCTAGCGCCGCGCGGCGGAGCCGCGGCCCTCACCGGAGTCGGCCCGCACGACGCCCGCCGCGCGCCGCGCCCTCCGGGTCCCCGCGTCGTCTTCGTCCGAGCTGGAGTTGCGCTCCGAGTCGGAGTCGCTGTCGCCCATCCTCACTGCGGCGCAACGTCCAAAAGGTGGAAGGAGGGGGGGGGTGGAAGGAACGTCACTCGTTAGGCGACCCGATGGGACGGCGCGCAATACGTTCGCTCGCACGCTCGCACGGTCAAGCGCTCGCTCGTGCACTCGCTCACCAACGAGCTCACCAACGAGCTGACCAACGAGGTCACCAACGAGCTCACCAACGAGCTCGTGCACTCGCTCACCAACGAGCTCGTGCACTCGCTCACCAACGAGCTCACCAACGAGCTGACCAACGAGCTCACCAACGAGCTCACCAACGAGCTCACCAACGAGCTCACCAACGAGCTCACCAACGAGCTACAGAGCTTTTTCACAGATGTCCAGTAAGGGGGCGGGTCAGAAAGTGGCAAAAGCAACAAACAACACAAACGCCGATAGGAGCGCAAAGTATAGGAAAGAGGAAGCGGGCGCACCAGGAGAAGGCTCGCACGTGTGAGAGGGGGCAACGCCGGACCCACACAGGTGGAAACAGGTGGAGTTCACATTTGCCATACCGCCAGGGTATGACGGATCCTCGTCGAGTTTAGCTAATTATATTTGTGCCGAGATCCGCCAACACTCGCCGCAGCCTCCACAATGCCTGGATTGCGGGGGCTGAGCCGCGTGCGTCGCCAACACTGCCCGCACTCGTGGATAACACGAGATGTTTTGTGTGCACATTTTTGGAGTTCCGATACCGTGCGACGGAACTCCAATCCCTGCCATCCAGTGTTGGGGGGGGGGGGGCAACAGCGGCATGACGGAGAGACAGAGGAGAGACGGAGGAGAGAGGCCGGTTGAACCGTCGGCCGTCGAGCTGCGGCTGTGCGTGTGTGTCCATGGTGGCGGCTGTGTCTGTGTGTGTGGCAGCTGCTGTGTCTGTGTGTGTGGCAGCAGCTGTGTCTGTGCGTGTGGCAGCAGCTGTGTCTGTGTGTGTGGCAGCGGCTGTGTCTGTGTGTGTGGCAGCAGCTGTGTCTGTGTGTGTGGCAGCAGCTGTGTCTGTGCGTGTGGCAGCAGCTGTGTCTGTGTGTGTGGCAGCGGCTGTGTCTGTGTGTGTGGCAGCAGCTGTGTCTGTGTGTGTGGCAGCAGCTGTGTCTGTGCGTGTGGCAGCGGCTGTGTCTGTGTGTGTGGCAGCAGCTGTGTCTGTGCGTGTGGCAGCAGCTGTGTCTGTGCGTGTGGCAGCGGCTGTGTCTGTGTGCGTGTGACAGCTGCTGTGTCTGTGTGCGTGTGACAGCTGCTGTGTCTGTGTGTGCGGCAGCTGCTGTGTCTGTGTGTGTGGCAGCAGCTGTGTCTGTGCGTGTGGCAGCGGCTGTGTCTGTGTGCGTGGCAGCTGCTGTGTCTGTGTGCGTGTGACAGCTGCTGTGTCTGTGTGCGTGTGACAGCTGCTGTGTCTGTGTGTGTGGCAGCTGCTGTGTCTGTGCGTGGGACAGCTGCTGTGTCTGTGTGTGTGGCAGCGGCTGTGTCTGTGGCAGCGGCTGTGTCTGTGTGTGTAGCAGCTGCTGTGTCTGTGTGTGTGGCAGCGGCTGTGGCTGTGTGTGTAGCAGCTGCTGTGTCTGTGCGTATGGCAGCTGCTGTGTCTGTGCGTGCAACAGCTGCTGTGTCTGTGCGTGTGGCAGCTGCTGTGTCTGTGTGTGTGGCAGCGGCTGTGTCTGTGCGTGTGGCAGCGGCTGTGTCTGTGGCAGCTGCTGTGTCTGTGTGTGTGGCAGCTGCTGTGTCTGTGCGTGCGACAGCCGCGCGCTCACGACGCGAAACTCTCCGCGGCCCCCTCCCGCCTCCCGCCCCCAAATCACTCACCGCGACCGCGCACCCAGGTGTAGGTGCGCGTGTCGGGCGCGGAGGCCGCCTGGTCCCTCGCCGCGGCCGCCCCTTGCGGGTTCCTGCCGAGGACCGCGGCCGCGGCGGGCCGCACGTCCTGCCGGCCCCCCGCCCCGGACGTCTTGGGGGGCAGCACGTACTTGGGCAGCCCCTTGAAGAACCACGCTCCAGAGCGCTTCCACACCTAGCGGAGAGACGGGCGTGGGGCGAGAGGGGCAGGAGCTAGCGGCGGTGAACACCGGACGGACCGGGCCATCGTGGTGGCAGGCGCTGGGGGATGATGCGACGGTGCAATTTGGATTTCGCGGCACCTCCCTTGCCAGTATCAAAATAGAAGAATTGGTTTTACAGTTGTGTTAAGATGCATTAGCCACATATACTTGTGGTGAACAAGCAAACAGAAAAACACGCTCTGGTCGTATATGATGCATTGTCTTTCAAACTGATTGGTCCACACCAGAGACAGCTTTCTCAAAACAGTGTTAGACCAGAGAATGCCACATGGTGAAACGACTATGCATAAACGACCAGGGTATGTTTTTTGTTTGCATGTTCAACACAAGTATGTGTGGTTAATGCAGAGATAATTCCTTGCACGAGGTTTTTGTTTGTTGTTGTTGTGACATCTTAACACCTGTTTTATTGCCAGAAAGGGTAAAACAAATTCTTCTATACAATTTGGATTAATACAACGGCTCAGACGCGGACTTTATTATCTCAGCTGGTGAGGGCCCCCATAGAGCCTAAAGCGGATCTTGTTACAGGTGTCAACCACAGCCCGGTGGCGGCAGTTACAGGACACCGCGCGTTACACAGAGTTACGTAGAGATCCACAGAGTTATGTAGATATCTATTGAGTTACGTAGAGGCCCTGTAGAGTTACACAGAGGAGCCACAAAGTTACGTAGAGATCCACAGGTTTATGTACAGATCTATTGAGTTACGTAGAGGACCTGTAGAGTTACGTGGGGGACCCACGGCATCATGTGCAGATCCAGAAACTTTAATAGAGCACCACAGAGATTCCGAGAGGGTTGGGCTGGCTAGAGAGGGTGGGGGGGGGGGGTGGCTGGAGGGGCACCGTCTCGGGGCACTCGTTATCAGCGTCATCATCATTTGTGCCGCTTTCCTATCGAACACTTCACCTCTCGCTGCTCGCTGCAGATCTTGCACAGCCAGAGCGGACGCTGGCGGCTGCACACGGAGTCGACGCCACACTTGGTGCACACGTTCTGACGGGAGACGAGGGGGGGGGGGGGGGGGCGGGGCGGCACACACAGAGACAAACGTCGCCCGTATAGCATTCGCGGACTGTTGGGGCAAGTGCTGTTGGCGAGCAGCGCCACCACCTATGAAGGCCGGCACGGAAACACGACGGGAGTGGGTAGGCTGACACCCCGGTGCCGATGATCACAAACCGCGAGCAGGTACTCGTTTAAGGCCGAGACCACCAAGCGGGGAGTCGAACTTGGGTCAGCAGGTTTGTTGTGCAGTGCGCCAACTACTGCGCCACTGCTCCTCACTGTCCACAAATACGGTAAATGCCAATTACCAGCTGTGTGGTGGCTGTGTCTGTGTGGTGGCCGTGGTTGCCCGTGGTGGTGGCCGTGTCTGTGGTGGTGTCCGTGTCTGTGGCTGCGTGGACGCCAGCTGCGTGAGCTCATGACTCCGTCTCGCCGTGGCTCCCTCCCTCCGCCGCCCCCCTCCCGCCCCCCACTGACACTGGACGCCGCACGACTAACTTCCACCATCACGCTCAGCCTGAGCGCGAGCGCATCTTTTTGGTGTTTTTCGCCATTTTGGCAGCCAGCCCCCCCCCGCCCCCCGCCCCCCCCCCCCTCACCTTCTTGCAGTCCTCACAGAGGGCGGCGGCCGAGCCGAGCAGGCCCAGCTGCTCCCCGCACAGCACGCAGCGAGCGGCGCCGTCGCCCAGCGCGTTACGTCTCATGTTCTCCAGCCGCTCCACCAGCCGCCTGCACCGTCACGGGGGGGAGGGGTGGGGTGGAGGTCGGGGGGGAGCACGGACCAGGTTCAGCGGCAGGGGGCATGGGATGGTGGGGGGAGGGGCGGGGGTGACGTCGACCGGGTGCAGTGACCGGGGGGGGGGGGGGGGGCCATCGGACAGAGGGGGGGGGGGTGGGGCTGGCGGTGCTCGCAACCAAGCGGGGCCGGCACGCAGGCGGCGGCACGGATACCGCGCAGGAGAAGTTTTGTCGGACTCGGGGAATCGCGGAGACGAAACGCGCCAGCGTCGAACGGGTGCCTTTACCGAGGCGGTGAAGCCGCGGTCGCCGAACCGGCAGACTCGCGCGTGCCTTCGCGGTGACGCACGACGGTGGCAAGCATTCAAATCGCGAATGGCAAAATGGGACCGCGCGCTTGCCAGCGACTTGAGTCCACGACGAGAGGCCAGGAGCTTCCTTCCGTTCGACATTTACGTAGATCACGTGCAGACAAAGCGGGTGGGGTTACAGACGGAGTCTCGGTTGAGCGTCGTGCATCTTCAGGCCAGTGCTGCGGGGCCCCCCCCCCAGGCTAGACTTGCCCAACATGCGGTGACATAGTCGATACGAAGGCGGTTGTGCCCAAGGCTACGCGACAACGCCCGAGGGCGAGTGGAGTCAAGGCCGCGATCGTGAACGGTGCAACGAGAAAGTAACGGGAAAGGGACAGGGGAGGTCGAGGCGGAAGTCGCTACCCCCCCCCCCCCACAACCCCGCCCCAAGACGGACGAAGAAGAGGAGGGCATGGCACAAGATGAGCAGCAGGGGGAGAGGAGGAGCGGAAGAAGGAATGGCAGGACCAAGATGTTTCAGGGATGGAGAGGGCGATGAGGATGACGAGAAGAGAGGGAGGAAGAGAGGGAGAAGAAGGGATGAGCGAGCAGAATTGAGCCGCACGGAGGAGGAGGAGCGGCGTCTGTTTCTACAGGGGGAGGGGGGGGAGGTGGCGGGGAAGAGGGGGAGGGGGGTTGCAAGTGGAGGTGACCTCACGCGGACAAGTCACGCGCTCAACGGTGGCGGAGTGCTCGCGACGATCTGGACGCCGGTCGACGCGAGGGGCCTCCAACATCCACATGCGCGGCCTGCGCCAGTCTGGTGACAGACTCCGACTCCGATCCCCCGCTTGGCGACCGAGGCGCTCCGCTCCCACGCTGCTTCGCCTTCTTCTCCTGCGCTCGCTCACCCGATGCGCTCCTGCTCCAGCAGCTCCATCTTCTCGGCTTTCTCGATGACCTTGTGGATGGCCTCGCGCTCCTCCTCGCTCAGCGTCTCGCTCCTGCGCTGCTTCTCCGAGCGGTGCGTGTGCACCGACCAGCCCGTGTTGAGCCTGCTCCACGGCACGCGACACGCACGCGACACGTCGGCAGCGGCTCACGCCGCGGGGGTACGCGTGCACCAGGGGCGGGTACGCGTGCGTTTGCGTGTGTGACACCTCGGGGTGTGGGCGGGGGAGGGGGGGGAAGTGAGACGCCTCTAAGTGACACTCGAGGCATCTCGAGTGTGGCAATGATTGCCACGCAAAAAAATAAATAAAAATCGCTCAACTTGGTTTTGTTCTTAATTTGGCTCGAATCCAACTCCGACAATGCAAACCGCCAGCTTTGTTCCCATACCGTGATCATCGTGTCACGTTAAAATATGTGTGCCCCGAAGTGTGGATCAACAGATCCGATGCCTCGACTACTTCGAAACCAGCTCTGTAGCCTCAACTTCTCGGGGCTGTTTCGGACCCCAGGTGCAGGGCTCCAATGAAAACGATAAGAAAACATAATTTTGGAAAAATATATATATCAAATTACGACAATGTGGCCAAAGTGGCCCAGATGGGTTGAGGGCTCACAATGGCGGCGAACGGGCGAGGGAGGGAAAAGGGTGAGCGGGAGAGAGGGAGGGAAAGGGTGAGCGGGAGAGAGGGAGGGAAGGGGTGAGCGGGAGAGGGAGCGAGGGAGGGAAAGGGTGAGCGGGAGAGGGAGGGAAGGGGTGAGCGGGAGAGAGGGAGGGAAGGGGTGAGCGGGAGAGGGAGCGAGGGAGGGAAGGGGTGAGTGGGAGAGGGAGGGAAGGGGTGAGCGGGAGAGGGAGGGAAGGGGTGAGCGGGAGAGGGAGGGAAGGGGTGAGCGGGAGAGGGAGGGAAGGGGTGAGCGGGAGAGGGAGCGAGGGAGGGAAAGGGGTGAGCGGGAGAGGGAGGGAAGTGGTGAGCGGGAGAGGGAGCGAGGGAGGGAAGGGGTGAGCGGGAGAGAGAGGGAAGGGGTGAGTGGGAGAGGGAAGGAAGGGGTGAGCGGGAGAGGGAGCGAGGGAGGGAAAGGGGTGAGCGGGAGAGGGAGGGAAGTGGTGAGCGGGAGAGGGAGCGAGGGAGGGAAGGGGTGAGCGGGAGAGAGAGGGAAGGGGTGAGCGGGAGAGGGAGGGAAGGGGTGAGTGGGAGAGGGAAGGAAGGGGTGAGCGGGAGAGGGAGTGAGAGAGGGAAAGGGTGAGCGGGAGAGGGAGTGAGAGAGGGAAAGGGTGAGCGGGAGAGGGAGGGAAGGGGTGAGCGGGAGAGGGAGCGAGGGAGGGAAGGGGTGAGCGGGAGAGGGAGGGAAAGGGTGAGCGGGAGAGGGAGGGAAGGGGTGAGCGGGAGAGGGAGTGAGAGAGGGAAAGGGTGAGCGGGAGAGGGAGGGAAGGGGTGAGCGGGAGAGGGAGCGAGGGAGGGAAAGGGTGAACGGGAGAGGGAGCGTGCAGGCGCGGGAGCGAGCGAGACGGTGAGAGGGCGAGCGATGTCAAAGCGACTTTTCCCGCGCCTGCCGCCCTTTCCCGAAATATCGCAACAATTTTGAGTGAAAGGTCGCCGAGTGGGCTCACGATGTCTCTCCCCGCACCCGCGCCTTTGAGAGGTGGAACATGGCACGGACAGAAATCCAGAAATACAAACATGAAAAGGAATCGACCACGAAGCGCATAACGGAGCCCAAGAGAGAGCACCGCGCCGGTGACGCACAGAGCCTGGGTTCCCATCCGGGTTCTTTTTTTGTTTCAGCCGCCCGTGGTGGTGGCGTGAGCGGTGGTGGTGGTGGTGTGAATGGTGGTGGTGTTGGTGGTGGTTTGAGTGGTGGTGGTGGTGTGAATGGGTGGTGATGTTGGTGGTGGTTTGAGTGGTGGTGGTGTGAGCGGTGGTGGCATGAGTGGTGGTGGTGGTGGTGGTGTGAATGGGTGGTGATGTTGGTGGTGGTTTGAGTGGTGGTGGTGTGAGCGGTGGTGGCGTGAGTGGTGGTGGTGGCGGTGGTGTGAATGGGTGGTGATGTTGGTGGTGGTGTGAATGGGTGGTGATGTTGGTGGTGGTTTGAGTGGTGGTGGTGTGAGCGGTGGTGGCGTGAGTGGTGGTGGTGGCAGTGGTGTGAATGGGTGGTGGTGGCGGTGGTGTGAATGGGTGGTGATGTTGGTGGTGGTATGAATGGGTGGTGATGTTGGTGGTGGTTTGAGTGGCGGTGGTGTGAATGGGTGGTGATGTTGGTGGTGGTGTGAATGAGTGGTGATGTTGGTGGTGGTGTGAATGGGTGGTGATGTTGGTGGTGGTTTAAGTGGTGGTGGTGGTGCGAGCGGTGGTGCTGCAGCGACCGTGGCTGTGTCCCGGCGAGCACTCACTTGGCGCGCAGGGCCAGGTGGCGGTCGTTGGGGCAGACCCAGCGGTCGGCGGCGCTGCTGCCGAACACGGCGTCCGTCATGGCGCCCGCCAGCTCGCTCCCTCGATTGTCCTGCACGGGGGGGGGGGGGGGTGGTCAGCGGTACCGGTTAGACTCCTGCACCAGAGCTGCGCGAGCACGTTGAGTGTCCGCGACCGCACGCTCAGCACGGCGGTTACCCCCCCCCCCCACCCCCCACTGTCAACGCTCAGCAATGTTCCCATGGGTCGGCCGTGCGGCGGTGGCGGATATTTTTCAAAAGCAGAATCTGCAACGGTTCCTTGGGTTCCCTATTTCCCACGGCCTCACAGACCGCCGGTGGGGCGGGGACCAAAAACGTCGGGGACCACCGGCTCACGCGGGGGGGGGGGGGGGGGGGGGGGTTGGTGGATCACGCGGAGGATGGTAGCGCGCAAGATGGCGGTATAAGCAAGTGGGTTCAAGAACCTGTCCGTGTGGACTCTCCAGCATCGGCCCCTTGTGTTGCCGTAGGTTCGCTCCGTTTATAATAATGAGTGCAAATTATTTACACGAGTTGAGATGGAGGCGGCGTGATCACCGCGCGGTTTTACGCGACGCTTGATGCGTAAAGATCAGCCGCTGCCCTGAAACCGATCGATCGTCTCGTGCCCCACACCGAGCTCGCGAGCCCCACCTGGAGCCCCACCTGGAGCCCCGCCTGAAGCTCTGCCTGAAGCTCCGCCTGGAGCTCCACCTGGAGCCCCACCTGGAGCCCCGCCTGAAGCCCCGCCTGGAGCCCCGCCTGAAGCTCCGCCTGGAGCCCCGCCTGGAGCTCTACTGGGAACCCCACCGGGAGCCCCACCTGGAACTCCACCTGGAGCCCCACCTGGAGCTCCACCTGGAGCCCCACCTGGAGCTCCACCTGGGGCTCCACCTGGAGCCCCACCTGGAGCTCCACCTGGAGCTCCACCTGGAGCTCCACCTGGAGCCCCACCTGGAGCCCCACCTGGAGCTCCACCTGGAGCTCCGCCTGGCGCCCCACCTGGAGCTCCACCTGGAGCCCCGCCTGGAGCCCCACCTGGAGCTCCGCCTGGAGCCCCACCTGGAGCTCCACCGGGAGCCCCGCCTGGAGCTCCACCTGGAGCTCCACATGGAGCCCCGCCTGGAGCCCCACCTGGAGCTCCGCCTGGAGCCCCACCTGGAGCTCCACCGGGAGCCCCGCCTGGAGCTCCACCTGGTGCCCCACCTGGAGCCCCACCTGGAGCCCCACCTGGAGCTTGTACGCCCAGCTCGCGTGGTTCCCTGGCCATCGAGTTATTGGCAGCGATGGTTTTGTTCCCTTGGGGTATTGTTTGTTTCTCGGCGGATATTTTTCCGCACCCGCCAGAGTAGTTTGGCATGTGCCAAGCGGATCCTGGATGTGGTTTGCCAGGTGTAACTTTTTTTTGTGTTAAAGCTCACTGGTACTCTGCAGTAGGTTTGACTAACTATAACTTAACTAACTTAACTGTTTTTATTTTACCAGGTAAGGCCCAATGACCTATGGAGCTTTTTTTCAGCGACGTGGCTTATCACGTGCACATTTATAGCAGCCAATACTATAAACAATACTATAAACACACGCCGATTCTAAATGTGGAAGGAAAAACCGGACGCAAACTCCAAATATACAACAGGCGTCAGGGTCGGGATCGAACCCACGACCTCCCGCATACCAGTCGAGGAAGCTAATATCTCCTCGCCACCGCCGCGTGACTTCAGTAGCCACAGACTGTAGTGAGAGGTATACTGGATGTGGTGTGCTGGGCACACGCCGACCAGGACCGACCCGGTTAGAATGAGAGCCACGGTTGCGGCGCCGCTTGCGGCGAGGGCGAGGGCGTGCCGCGCGCGCCAACAGGAGGCACGTGGAACCGGTCAGACGGGAAACCGCTGGAGAACGTGGACATTCGTGCTCGGTTGGAGCCGATCGCTGGCGGCGGTGGTGGTGGGGAGTGGGAGAGTAGTCGGGCCTGAGTTCACGGCCAACACCAGCGATGATGAGCTGAACCGGTCATGGACCTCCTGTCGGTCGACTCGGCCTCAAATGAGTACTGCACCTGGTGGTGTGTGTAAAACACCACCACGAGGGAGGCCCAGGTGGCCGGGCGCGATGCTGCCCACCCACCCTCCTCCTTGCATGCCGTGCCGGCCTTCATAGGTGCTCGCTCACGGCACTTTCCCCTTAAAGTGTGTAGAGGCTTTTGATTTAAAGCTTTCGTGACTGCAGTGATTCATATTCTTAGCTCTTTCGGTAAAGTCACGTTGAAGGGAAACAATAAAATAATAAAATATATATAAAACAATAAAAATTCTCAAGCCGTTTTGACCATAACACCTGATGATGACCGTTTGTGTTATGGATCAAAACGTCGTGAGAATTTTTATTGTTTTATATATTTTATTATTTTATTGTTTCCCTTCAACGTGACTTTACCGAAAGAGCTAAGAATATGTGTAGAGGCTATACGGGGGATCTTTGTCGTTTGCGTCTGGTGGTGGCGGTGGTGGTGGTGCAAATCCCGTGTTCGTTCGCGATCGCCCGTGGTTCAATCGCTGATCCGGCAAGAACAAATTCCCAGCACCCCACTCTCTGCTCCCCAATTGACATTGCAACAAAGCGTGTTTTTTTTTTTTTAAATCTATGCCGGAGAACTCGAGTGGCAGAGAAGAGTGGGGATTGTAGTGTGTCGGTCGTGGCGTTTGCTTGACCATACTTCACCGCGCCGGCCATTGAGGGTTTGGTCCGGTGCGGCCAAAAAAATACCCACCGTAGGTTCCGCGGACCGGGGAAGACTGCGGAGTCTCAACAAAGGCGATATCAAAAGGTGGCGACTGACGGCATCCGTTTGTTTGTTATTTCTCTCTCTCTCTCTTTGCGTTCGTGTCGGCAACATCGTTGTGAGCGGGCGGGCCACAGCGGGGACGTTCAGAGTGAATCTTAGGAAAACAAAACGGTCGCATTAACGCTGGCCGACGAAAAAAGCGCGCTCGGAAATCGAAATGCAAGCCCAGGAAACGGTTGAATGGAAACGAAGGCAAAATTGAACAATGGTCGCGCGGCGCTCGTTCTCGCCCTCTGCCCGCGTGCCGGCCCGCAACGATGTGTGGACGTCTTCGATTCCGGAAGGAGCTCCTCCCACCCCCCCCCCCCCCCCCCCCCCAGGGCACGCGGGGGGCGAAACGTCGGACATCTCAACGAACGGCACCGCGGCACAGCCCCGAAGAACGTGGAGGAGAGCCGGACCGCGGCGGCGGCGGTGGCGGCAGCGGCACGACCGTGATCACCAACGCAGTGGAACCGCGTCGGTGCTGGTGGTGTTGTTGTTGGTGTTCCCTGCAGTGTTGGCCACGCAGTGACTCGGAGAGTGAGAAGGCTGCGACTCGGCCCATCGAGACCCCCCCCCCCCCCCCCCCCCCCCCCCCCCGGGTTCGTGAAAATACTGCCGCTCCACGTACGGTCGACAGTGGCTGTTGCAATGCCATAGGAATGTGGAGTTTGCACAGCGCCACAAGAACCCCAGCGATGAGCCCTGTCCTATGCACGTTTAAGCGTCGGTACACTTTGCACATTTTGGCTAATCTTACACGCACTGTATTAGGGTTTTGCAATGCCGTATGTTTACAAAGCCAATTTCAGATCTATTTCGTACGACTCATATTGTGTACTAAAACAATATAAACAAAGAACATTTCAACTCATTTGTCATTAAATACCGTGGTCGTAAAAGGGGAAATAAATAGATATGATAGGTGACGTTTCGGGCAATGGCCCTCAATCATGGCACATCGTGGGTGGCAATCATCTCTTCTCTTGCCCTTCACGAGACCACCAATGGCAGTCAAACCGATTTTACACTCATGGTTCGGATAATAGGCGCCGGTGTTGGCCGTGAGCTGCAACTGAACTTGGGTCGCTGGGTTCAGAGTGCAGTGGGATAACCGCTATACTCCCACTAGTGCACGCACGCACACGCACAAAGACATCCCCCAGGTAGCCTCCACAGGCCGTTGGGGCAACTGCTGTCACCTATGAAGGCACGAGCGGGTGGGTTGGCCAGCAACACGCCCGGCCGCCTTTGTCTCCCCAGTGGCGATGTTTACACACCGCACCAGGTACGCGATGTTAGCAAGCACCTATGATAGGCCTGGTGCCAGCGCATGGAGTGGTGGGGCCAACACCACTCCCAGCCGCCTTTCTCTCCCCAATTATGATCCATACACACCCCCCCCCCCCACAACCAGGGTGCTGTACTCATTTAAGGCCGAGTCGGCCTCGGGAGGAGGGGGTTGGGGATGCACACAGGGCCGATTCAGACAAATCGCAACCGATGTTGGCCGTGGCCTGTAAGTACAATCAAACAACGGGCCCCGCGGGGTTCCGAGTAAGCCCGTCGGTTTCCAGAAACCTCTGCGCGACCGCCCCGCATGCATTTCCGCCACGTTTCGCACCAAAAATGTGACCTTTTTTTCTTTCAACACTCGAGAATTGACCTTTGTCCTCAACGTGCCCTGCGCTGTAACGCCGCTTGTCCTCTCCCCGGGCGGTCAAGCGGCGCCCCGGTTGAATTAGCGATTCCAACGCCACGCCGATGCCCCACCAGCCCGAGGCTTGCAAGTACGGACGAAGGCAGCGATTTCAATTCTGCGCGGAATTTGGGGGAGGGGTGGGCGGTAGGATTAGGAGGAGGGGATTTTTTTTTTGTTCGCGAACGCTTGCCAATCGCCGCGAATCGATTTCACACGTCCTTGCTCTACACCCGATCACAATCCCCCCCCACCCCCCCGCATTCGTTTCTAGTGGCGTTCGTTCACCATGGTGGGAATTGAAAGGCGCCTGTGGGACGAAGGTTCCTCCCCGTGCCGCCTACATTACTCAGTACTGCTGGGAAGTAAGTGTAGTTAGCGAGCACCTATCATAAGCCACAAGACAATGGCAAAGACCCCCCCCCCCCCCCACCCACTCAGCAATCCTGTGTAGCCTTTAACAGACTGTTGGGGCAGGTGCAGTTAATGAAGCACATGGGGGGGAGTGGGATACTGTCAGCACCGCACCCCGGGCTGCCTTTGTC